CTCACGTCCCAGTCCACAGCACGCGCCATATGCATTATCTACGGATGAGATTCCTGTCTCACGTCCAGATCAGCAGACCACACCGCCCTTGACTTCGGATGAGATTGCAGGCTCACTAAGTACGCATGAGACCACCGTCTCGCGTTCCGGTCGCCGCGTACGCTTACCTGTACGTTTTCTCGAATAACCACCTAGACAACAACGGATACGCTATAGGACATTAGCCTCATACTGCGCGCATGCTACACATTTCCCTTTCTGTTTCATTTTGTGTCCTGAGCCCATGTCTACGACCATAACCCTGTTGGTACTGTTAATTTCTGTCAGTCTTGGTAAAAACTGGCCTGATCATCTGCGCTCTTCTCAACGCACTCAGTCAATGTTCTGGTTCCGAACGTATCTGGCACACGTACTGTTTCGGATTTGGTCGTTCTGGTCGTTTCTGGCTCCCTCGCTCAGTCTGGTTCCGTCCTAAGTCTGAAGCTTTTCTGGTCCGGACCGCTACCAACGCAATCATCAGGCTCTTGATACGAGCCACGCTGGTGTGGCATGCCAACTGAAGCATTAAAATTGGCACGTTACTATTGATACACTTCAGCGTAGAAAACTTTCGACGACAACTCGAGCGTCATCGGTCGCTTCTTGCCCGTCAACCCTTTCGCCCTACAATCGCTGGTTAGCCTATATATATAGTCAGATAAAAATAACACAGACATATGACAGGCGAAATAGGTATGTACACACATGAATAAAAGTGACAAATGATTGACAAGGTCAAAAGCAAGCGATACAAATCATGTGAGTTCATGGGATTATTAAGAAATTAACATTAAAGCGAAAAGGATGAGTAAGCGCGTAGGTGTAAACAATGCTCAGTCCTACAAGCTCATACAAACCAGATAATAAAAAATACCAATGGTACATATGAGTTGTTGCTATACAAATGGCTTGGTTAAATAAATTAATCGAAAGGGCTTAACCAAGTTAGATGTAAGAGAACTGGAATATATGTAGAGGCAGTACATAGTAATAATGGCTGGTGACTTCAATGCTCAAGTAGGTAGACTAAGTGAGCAGGAGAGACACCTAGGTGAATGTTATTGTGTCGCGGCTCAGAGAACAAACAATGGTGACCGTCTGTTGCAAATATGCTCAGACAACCACCTATTCTTAGCAAACACTAACTTTAGGCATAAGGAAAAGCATCTGTTGACCTGGCGACCTCCAAAGTCGTCTCAACGTTGGACTCAACTAGATCACATTGCCATCAGACATCAGCCTCTATCAGCCGATGGAAGGGTTCGATAGAAGAATGTCGCTTGTTCTGGAGCACACGTTTAGACTGAGATCATGCCTTAGTGCAAGCGCGTATTTGTTTGAATCTTACTGGGCGTAGGAAAGACATCGTAAGGAAGCCTCTTAGGGTCTTACTTAATCATAATACGGCGAATAATATATTTCAGGAACAACTAGAAAGACATTTAGGCGACCATGCAAGTGATTCCCATCCGGAGGCAAGTTGGAATGATATCAGAAAGGCTGTGGAAACAGCAGTGATATCTGCTAGCAAGGTAAACCATAAGGCTAGGATTAAGCCGTGGATTTCAGTTGCATCCACCGAACTTATGGATGCACGAAAACGCATCCCACCTGACTCTGAACATGATGAAGAGCGTAGTCAGCTTAGGCGCAGACAGATTAGAAGCCTACGTAACGACCGTGAACAGTGGTGGATGGCGAAGGCAAAAGCGATGGAAAAGGCAGAGGCGATAGGCAACACTAGACAACTTTTACGCCTTATTAAAGAAACCGGTGTTAGGAACCCGAATGTGAGTGAGACAATCTCGGAAAAGGATGGGATTATTATCCAATCTCAATCCAGGAAATTGGACCGATGGGCAGAACACTTAAGGGATCAGTTATCCACGATCTCCAGTCATTCTGAATGGCAAATCGACGTAAGTCCCCACAGTCTTTATAAAGTGGAGAAAGCGTTAGGAAATCTGAAACGAGGACGAGCTGCAGGTCCTGATAGACTGACCCCTGAGATATTCAGGGATGGTGGTCCAGTTTTATCAGCAGGGTGGACTGAGATCTTAGGTAGAATCTGGGAACCGGACACAATCCCATCTGACTGGTCTCAATCACTGATTGCCCCAATCTATAAGAAAGGACAAATGTCTTCTTGTGACAATCACAGGGGAATAAGTCTAACTAATATAGTATCTAAAATATTGGACTCAATAATACTTCGACGCTTAATGAAAGCTCGTGAAGAGCAGACTCGAGAAAACCAATCTGGTTTTCGACCTGGACGTGATTGTATAGACCACATTTTCACACTAGGACAGGTCCTGGAACACAGACACACATTTAAGCGTCCTACAGTAGTTGACTCTGTAGATCGTGAGGTTCTGTGGCAGTGTCTGTCATTGAAAGGTGTACCAAAAAAGTATATTAACCTTATACAAGCTCTCTACTCGAACACTACTGGTCGAGTGAGAGCTTATGGCGAAATGTCATCGGAATTCTCTACATGAAGTGGTGTCCGTCAGGGATGTCCACTCTCTCCATTCTTGTTTAATTTTATCATAGAAATGCTCCTAGAAATAACCTTATCCTCGTCTTAATTTTCAGGAGTAGACCTTTTACCTTCTGGCTCGCTTATTGACTCAGAATATGCTGATGACATTGTCCTACTTGGTGAAGACGCTGACAAAATGCAGAGTCTTCTAACTACCCTAAGAAACAATGCAAGCATGTTCGGGATGCGCTTTTCCTCCTCGAAATGCAAAATGTTGCTTCAAGATTGGGTTGCATCGGCACCTAAACTAGTGATAGGGAGTGATGTAGTCGAACGTGTAGACCGCTTCACTTATCTTGAGAGTCTCATCAGTGCCGATGGCCTGGTGACTGACGAAATCTCAGCACGGATACAGAAGGCTCGATTGGCTTTTGCCAACCTGCGTCACTTATGGCGTAGGCGAGATATCCGTTTGCTGACTAAAGGACGAGTGTACTGTGCAGTGGTTTGCTCCGTCTTACTTTATGGCTGTGAAACATGGCCAGTGAGAGTAGAAGATATTCGTAGGTTACTGGTTTTCAATCATAGGTGTCTTCGAAGCATTGCTCGTATATCGTTTGACACCCGAGTTAGCAACGCTGTTATTAGGAATCGGGTACCAGGTAAGAATGGCAGATCAATAGATGAAGTGGTGAAACTTCATCAGTTGAGGTGGTTGGGTCATGTACTGCGTATGCCTAACCACCGACTGCCTCGACGAGCTTTGTTTTGTAGTGTAGGAGTAGGTTGGAAGAAAGTTAGGGGCGGCCAGACCAAAACATGGCGGAAATCCATGAAATCATTGACGAGTGGACTTAGCCATGTCGGTAATTGTCGACTACCTGGTTGGGGTCCGCGAGATGATAATAATCGATGGTTAGAGACCTTGAATGACATGGCTCAAAATCATTCGCAATGGTGCCGGTGCATTTATTTTTTGTTGCTGGTTGTTAGCCGATTGTGTTTCCTAGGTTCTATATTATATCGATATCACAAGGCTAGCAATAAATGTATTTCTTCATCCAGAATAATCTATTTTTCGACTTCAAGATTATCGGTTCATACATTAGTAATCCCGCGAAGGAATATATTTATTTCGATTTACTATAAGCGGGTAGTAATAATCTTTATTAAACCAAAACTCTACATGGTTTGCAGAAATGAAGAGACTGAAAGTAGTTATTGTGTTTAGAGTTATATGACAAGTTGTTTTCAAATGATATCTATACAGGACTATAAACAAGCACATGCAAATTCTCAAACAAAGGGTCGTACGGGATTACTACATCGCAAATTTATCAACGCCTATGATAGACCATCGACAGAATAGTTTACCAAAAGTCAACACTACGTATACGTCTTGGTTTATTTTGTCAATCAACAGCTAGGATATTCATCTAATATCCTAAGATAATTGTTTGTAATTCTAATTCTATTGGATTGGAGTAGCCTGTCGTGTTGCCGGATCCTCGATCTCCGCTGTCGTTTACTGACAAAGGCAAACTCTTAACAGTTCGCCTCCAATAGACCTCCAGATCTTCTCATAGTCTGCGTAGATCACTGCCGGTGAGCTAACTGTGCCTAACAGGTCAGTAATAAATATCAGGAGGAGAAGTGGGCCTGAGATGGTCCTCTATGAATCTCCCTATGGGGATACTCGCCAGCTTGATTGCTCTTTATTTACCTTGGTACGAAACTTTCTATTCTCAAGGTAGTTTCTGAGCCAAGATAGGAGTGGGTCGGTGAAGCCCATTTCCACAACTTTTTCGATTAGGTGTGGGTGGGGTATTGTGTCAAAGGCTTTTTCAAAGTCGAGAAATATTACGTGCTCCGGTATTTTTCGGTCCAAACAGGATGTCCAACTATCCGATGCTATGAGAAGATTGGATGCACACGACCTGCCTTTCCAATACCCGTGTTGAGCCTCATGGAGTATTTTATTCTTATCCATGTACTCACTAATTTGGTAGTTCACCAGCCCTTCCATTACTTTTAACGGTATTGGTAGTAATGCAACTGGTCGTTAAGACGCTGGGTCCTTCCTATCTCCTGCTTTGAAGATTGGGAAGAGAGTAGCTTGTTTCTCTTCAGCTGGGAATTGGTGTGACTACAGTGAATGTCTATGAGCAATCATTTGCGCCTTATGAAATCATACCATTTGTTTGAAAAGAATTGGGAAAGTTTTAAAAGTAATGTAGCATGGTTTTATGAACAGAATCTGGAGGTACTGATAATCTCCTTTCTAAGGTTTTTCGGAGTAAATCAGCTTACTTTTATTTTCAGTAAAAGAATACGGCATTTTATGGCTTAACTAAGAAAGCTTTCGTCAGAATAGGCCTCAATAATTCTTTTAAGGACTTCAAGCAGAATGCCTTACGTGCAGGACTTCTGATAGATTGACATTTGAAACATAGATTCTGGTGCCAGTTTTGTCTTGGGCTGTACCTGACTGATGTCCGAGGTGAGATAACAAAATTCGTAGTTTGTGCTAATTTTGCATCAAAACTGGACTTTAATAAAATGCAGATTTATGCAACGCAAGTCAGGTTTTTGTATTTTTAGGGAATTTCGATGAAATCAAGGCTGTTATTTTGAGAATGTTTCGTAGTCACTCATCTGTTTTGATTGAACGATGTTAAAAAGAATAAAAGTGTGTGATCAGTTAATCTGATTTGCTTTTCACTCATGCGTCATTAGAACTCTTTTAAGTAGATATTTAAAATTGACCACTACCAAACTGCCTGTTCTTTGAGATCTATCTCTGGAAAACTGGATAAGGTTTATGAGTACGAGGTTTAATTCTTATCATTATCCTCAAGGGGCTTAAAAGTATAAGAGATTAGCTATCACTAAGATGAATGTTAGGAGAGCAACACTTTAAAGATTCTATGTATCTTTCAATTTGGGATTCTTTCGAAAAGCGTTAGCAGTACGATTTATGTCTCACTCCTGATAATGAATTGTACAAAGCAACCACAAGTAGTCCCGCGTATTTCTCTTTGCATACGTTTGCGTGTTTTGCTCTGAAGTGTTTTTGTAAGTTTTGTTTGGTTCGCAAACGTATTGGCAATTTATTGGGGTGAAGTGGATTGTTAAATGTATGATAAATCATGATCATATCCCCCTTATCTTTATGTACTACAGAGGTCGCAAGTTTAATACCGCTGGGTGGATTAGGTAATATGGTCCATTTACCTTCGGGTTGTTTTTCAAACTCATCCTGGAAGAGAAGTATCTTTTTAATGACTATAAAACATGGCAGTGTCTTTTTAAAGTGGAAGTCTTGAGTAGGCACTACTAATAGCTCTACATGCCCTTTGGATTCAGTGAGCTTGTAGCTATAAAGAGAAACTATAACAGAACGTGCTTTCATTGGCTGCAGAGTGTCAGTAAATATAGACGTCCACCATATACATTAAGGTAACTCAATTTTTTCATGCACATCAAAATATGTTAATGGAATCTCAGAAAAAATGGGGCTAATGTACGATTGCTGTTCATCCTTGTGATTTCCCAGCCAATGATGTCAAGAGAATGTTTTATGTGGCCCAATCATTTATTGTATTTAATTCTTCTTGAAGAATGGAGATATCGATGGTATTTTCCAACTCTCTCCGAATGTTTAGTTTGCACACATGTAGCACAGTCTTAATACCAAGAGCATTTGTTAGACATTATCAAATAATGAGAAATGTTGTGATGATAAAAACTTGTCGTACTCCGTTGGTTATAAACTAATCCGAAAATATTGAACAAAGTCTGACTGCTTATAGTCTTATATGGTGATTTTACAGCCACTTAATTAAGTACCCATAGGTGCTTACGAATTTTGGTTTTAAACAAGTAATTCGGTTATTTACAATTTTAACCGTCTTGAAAGAATTTCTGAAGCCTATTTGCACGAACGCTTATGCTCCCTTCACCGTGTCCAACTATTTCAGGCTAGTGGTGTTATCCGGATACTCAAACTAAGGTGAGTAGAGTGGGGTCAGAACTTGTGATAGTGGTTATAAACTAAACGTCTTTACCAATTTATCTACTACTTTTCTTGACCACCACAACTACAAACAGCAAAATAAATTAGGAATCGCAGTACTTTTAAGAAACCCTTATCCAATATGTTCAGTGCAAGATTAGTCTTTGATGATTAAAGTAATCCATTGTGTCGTTGAATGAAAATAAAAAGAATTCAGCAAAGAAAACTTTAATTTTCGAAGAAATAATTTATTTAAGCTGTAAACTCATATTTAAACTTTCATATTTAACAAGTAACTGTAAAACGAATATACAGCTTAGGTAATAGGAAAACCTTTCTTCTTTAACTTCCATTTATTTTTATTAGCCAAGTTTTTTCATGAAGCTGTAAAACAGCTTGCTTTTTTTCATACAGATTTGATCAGCGTAGCTTGGTAGTTAATACTACCCAATTTGACCTTCAGGATACATCTAGCTCATAATTCCCTACAAAATGATTATTCTCTAGTTCTAGGAAATGTCGTTTTTTCTAAACTGAACTGTTATACTTATTGGTCATGTACATATCACACTTCGGTCAGAAGTAAGACTTTAACAGTTTGATTGTGATTGACAACGAGGGTCAACCAATGAAGTGAAGAATGTGGCTGAATAGATTCTAAATAGATTCATACACATCTGTTAGGTTCTGCTGTGTATATAACTGACTACATAACAGGGAGGTAGATTGGCGAACACAGAATGAAAGCAGCAACTGAAGGTCTGAGGGCGAAGTCGTACTGATGACTGTAGAGAGGTGTTACAGCAGTAAGGTGTTTCCCTCAGACAAACATCATCTGCAGCGATGCTGCCTTCTCACAAGGAAGGAAGGGGTTAAAATGGTCAACCCTGTATATATCATATCACACTTTACCTCACGGATTTCCGTCCGGCGGTGAGGCCTTTCATTCAAGAGCGGATCTAACACTTGGATAACTCCGTAAAAGACCGTGCGTAAAGGACCTCAAGCAGTTGTCCCTTGGGTTCTGCGGTCACTCTCCAAGGTCTCTAAGACTAAGGCTAATGCAATTTAATTTTCAGTTCTTTCTAGGAATACCCTTCCCCAGTTTGGGCAGCCAGAAAGTGACATCCGCTCTCATACCCGTAACAACACACGAGACCCAATTGGTCACAATCAAATCCTTCCTACACCGCAAAATAACTTTCTTATCTCCACGACCAACTCTTCTTTCATTCGTTTGTCACCTTGCATCGCTAGTGCAAACATTTCGAGTTCATGAAAATTTATTCCCGATCCCTTGAAACCGCGTTCTAAAGTACATGTTGGAGCTTTGAATGTCCGCATGTTGTGCGAAATAGGACAACAGACTTCGTTAGCTATGACTCTGGAATCTCGTGCCATTGATGTATGCTGCGTCTCTGAATCGCGCATACAGGATCCGAGTAGCGTCATTCATTCGACTTCATATTGTCAAGATAAAGAACGGTCTCGATTTATACTTCGTGTATCCGGAAGCCCCACTTCTCATTCCTGTGGCCTCGTTAGTGTAGGTATAGCACTGAGTTGTAAAGCAGAACTAAGTGTTAGACTGAATTCCAGTAGGTAGTTGCTCATAAGACTATCCGACTAAATGGGACAGTAAGGGCTCGTAAAGACAGGGACAATGGTCGTTGCTTCTACGTTGTCTCTACGCACGCTCCCACTGACTGCAACTCGGACGAGATGGAAATGAGTCTTACGGAGAGCTCTCTAACCTTCTTCTAAATGTTAAGCGCTGTGATATAGTAATGATGGCTGGTGACGAAGGCAAGTACGTCAGAATCAATTCATCACAGAGTAATTGGATTGCTACGGTAGTATAATTACTCTTACTGATAACTTAACGTTGCTTGTCTGAGGAACTCAGCTATCTGTCAGCGCTATCTGTTTTAAAATGACTGAGCGAAACTTTGAAAAATTATCTTGTTTTTTATCAGTCGTTTTGGTTCGAACAAATCGTAAGTAATCTTTTGGGCAAGCTGTCAGATGTTGAAGACCTATATTTAATAATACTGACTATTTATTGACCACTCCGTGATTCCTCCATATAAGTTGTCTTACAGGTTTCTTTCTAGGAAAGACACCGCAAGGAAGCGTCTTAGGGTTCTACTTAATGATAGCATAGCTAAGAATATATTTTAGGAGAAATCAGAAAAACATTTAGGCGACGGTGTATGTGGTGTCCATCCTGAGTCATGTTGGAACGATGTCCGTAAAGCTGTGAAAACAGCAGTGATATCTGTTAGTAAGGTAAAACCTAAGGTTGGGGGAAACAGTGAATTCCAGTAACATTTACCAAATCGATAGATGTTCGGAAACTCATCCCGTCTGGTTCTAGACATTACGAAGAGCGGGGTCAGTTTAAGCGTAGGCTGATAAATAGCCTACGCAATGATCGCGAAGAGTGGTGGGTAGCTGCGGTAAGGGAGATGGAAAGGTTATCGGCAGTATGTAACAGTAGATAACTGTTTAGACTTATCAAGGAAACCGGTATTAGAAATCATACTGTTAGCGAGACTCTCTTGAAAAAGAATGGACATATTATTCGTTCTCAATCCAGGTCAGTCAGTCAGTTGCAACGTAGAACTTCGTACGTATGTACATAAGTTCATGTTGCCATACCACATTAGCACAGAGACGCAAATATCAAATCAAATCCCATAGTGATAAAGATAGTAGAGGTATTAATGGTAATGAAGAAGACTAGGGTTTGAAGATATTATTCAAGAAGTATAATTCAGTGAGATAAGGTTAGAAAGACAAAGGTAGAGGTGCTGACGAATCCAGAAGTCTCAATCCAGGAGATCGAATAGATGGGCAGAACACTTTAGGGATCAGTTCAACTGGCCTCCAGCCACACATCGGTTACTCACGATCTCCAGTCATTTTGAATGGCAAATCGACATAAGTCTTCCAACTCTTTATGAAGTTGAAAAAGCTATAGGCAATCTGAAGCGAGGGAGAGCAGTGGGTCTTGTTAGGTTAGTCACTGAGATGTTGAAGGATAGTGGTCTACGTTGCAACTGACTGAGTGACTGACTGGATGGTGGTCCAGTTTTAACAGTTAGATCGACTGATGTTATGTAGAATCTGGGGACTGCGCGTTTTACCATCTGACTGGTCTCAATCACTGATTGTCCCAATTTATAAGAAAAGACAAAAGCCCTCTTGTGGCAATCACAGAGGAATCAGTCTAGGTAATTTATCATCTAAAATATTGGCCTCACTAATACTAAGACGCCTAACTAGGGCTTGTGAAGAGCAGACTAGAGAAAAGCAGGCTGGTTTCAGATCCGGACGCGGATGTATAGACCACATCTTCACACTACGTCAGGTCCTAGAACATAGACACTCGTTCATACGTCCCACAAAGGTAGTACTTCTCGACCTTATGACTGTGTTGATCGTGAGGTTCTGTGTCAGTGTCTGTCGTTAAAAGGTGTAACAAAGATGCACATTGACCTTTTGCAGACTCTCTACTTGATAACTACCGGACAATTGAGTAAGCAATGCTGTAGTTAGGGATCGAGTACTAGTTCAGGATGGTAGATGAATAGATGAAGTATTGAAACTTCATCAGTTGAGGTGGTCGGGACATGGGTTACGTATGCCCAACCATCAACTGCCTCGACAAACAATGTTTTGGGGTGTAGGAGTAAGTTGAAAGAAAGTCAGGAGCGGCCGAACCAAAACATGGCAGAAATCCATGAAGTCACTGACAAGTGGACTGAACCATGTTGGTAGATGTAGACTACCTGGTTGGGGTCCGTGAGGCGATAGTAACCGATGTTTCGAGACGTTGAATGCTATGGCTTAAAATCGTTTGCAATGGCGCTGGTGCATCCACTCTGTGCCCTCTCAAATTCTAACCTGAATTCCTCATCATATCTATCCTTAACTTTCTAAAGTTATCTCACTGAATTATACTTCTTGAATAATATCTTCAATTCCTAATATTCTCCATTACTGCTAATTCTTCTACTATCTCCACCACTATGGGATTTGAACTGACAGTTGCGTCTCTGTGCTAATGCGGTATGGCAACCTGAACTGATGTACGCACGTACGAAGTTCTACGTTGTAACTGACCGACTGACCGACTGAATATTAGTTTTATATTTAGGGTTTTTATAGATATTTTACCATTCTTTCTATTCTAGTTACATGCACTATGAGTCAGGCAGAATGGCTGGAGTTGGAAAGCGACCCTGGATTGTTTACTTTACTTTTGGAAGATTTTGGAGTTGAAGGAGTTCAAGTGGAGGAAATTTATGACTTGTCTAAGCCGATTACTGAAATTGTTTATGGATTTATATTCTTATTTCATTGGAACAAAGCCAAGAAAAAGGTAAGATGAACTACTTGACGAATGTTTACCTGTCTGACGTATCACTGTATTTATGTATAAACTTCGTAATGAAGACTATTTTTTGATTAATTGCATTTCTTGTATTACTAAATTTTTAAATTGAATGACTAAATTATAAAATACGGTTAATCACTACTTAATTTTAACAGATTGAAAGCCTCCTATTCATTAGTCAATCATGATTTCCAGATTTTTTTCTTGCTAACACCAATCTTTCCTCCCTAGCACTAATTTCTCCTTTTCGCGCAGTCACTACCAACATTTGAGATTTTAGAAATACTATTTCTGAGCTTCTTAAATAACACATGATTACACTGTACAGCTTTTTATTCTCCACTTATCTGGCACGTCAGACGATAAACTCCAATAATATGACCATAAGAACTATTGTTTTTGGAATAAGGTTAACCCTCAAGCTTTCGTTTATATGTGTTTGGAGTTTCGACACCAATTTCTCTTGAATAAGAGTATACATAAATTTTGTTTAAAATTTAATTGTCCCCACCAACTGAAGCTTAAAATAAATAGATAATGAGTTTTACCGTAAGTTTTCTATTCTCATGCAAAAAACTAAATACACATGTAGTTGTTTTAGTGAATGAGTTTAACATTCAAACTAATGGGCTAGATTATGAGAAAAGGCAGTTTTGTTTTGATATTAGATCCTGGCTAGTGGTAATAGTTTTCTGAAACTGATCTGACAACCACTTATTTTTCGATATTTACTATTTTTGGGCATAATGAGAGATATCGTCTAATCTATCAATCATCATCTACATCAAAGCAACGAGGGACATAAAAGTCCATTTTGTCATAACCCTCTGATATACAGTCGGATTAGAGTGGCGTGGGGTCTCATCTGCATGCAGTCTGATGGTAAAGACTGCCAACAGCCTTTAGTATAGAAAGCTAGGAAACACCAGTACACCTCGATAGCCTTTGCATCAATGGATACTCAGAAAGCTTACTCAGCTGGCTCCAAATATGATGAACAGGAAATAAAACATATCTCGACTAACAAAAGTCTACGCTATTGTCTTTATTAGTGGTAAATGACGAAAGAATAGGGATGAATTCTGTAGTCAGTAGATAACAGTAGTCACTTGTTCAAGATTATTGCAAACTGTACAATAACATTTCTAACTCAATTTCTAGGCATTGCTCATTCGATACGGAGACCTGTAATTCAGGTTTTATCTAATATTACTTACTAACCATCCTAGAAACAAATAACTAATTCTAGGCTTTTATTAGTTAAAATTATGAATTTATCTTAGATCATCATTAGGAACCGGAAAGCAACGGTTAGCCGTTTCATCCTAGTCTGGAACTCCTTAGCTGAGATCAACTCGTGATTTAAACTATGAAAGTCCTAGAATCTTCACAAAACCCCTTATGGGGTTCGATCAAATGAATAAATAAATTGAATAAATGCTTCTTTATAAATGCAATCGTTTTAAAATTCTGAGAAACTTTCTCAATTTTTTAATGTTCATAAATATGGACAGTTGTATATGCGCTTAAATTTTATGTACTCATTATTAAATTAGTTTTAAAGCTTCAATCGTAGTTTTCCATTATTTTTATTTCTGTCCATTTTTTTCGACACTAAAGTAGAGTGATAGTTTAGTTTGGCTTTCTCTGTGATGATAGTGATGTCACTCATTAATTAAGTATATATTCTTGCACTCAGCTTTAGACTACACTTTATCCGTTACGGCTAGTGGCATTACCTGGCTTCTCAAACTGATGTAGTTCTGAGTCAAATATGCAACCACTTAGTGGTTGAAAATCTATCCCATTACTTCCTCTATATTCATAACTTAAACTGATGTACATTAAAATATCTGCTTGATGTAACTAGTCCAATTGGTAATTAAACTATCCTGTCTTACATGTTTTAATAAACGACTTAATTTTTTTGTTCATTTAGAGGACTGACGTTACTGTTAATACTTCTACTATCTCTACTACTATAGGGTTTGAATTGACAATTACATTTCTGTGCTAATGTGGTATAGCAACTTGAACTGATGTACGTACGTACAATGTTCTAAGTTGTAGCTGACTGACTGTAGACCTGGAACCCTTTTAGAGTTACTGCCGGTCACAAGCCCGGATAAAGGATAAGCGTCGGGCATGGGGTTAACAACCCCATCATTTAGAAAAAAACTTAAAGAAAACGTCAGCCAGAGAAAAATAGTTCAAATCTGTTAAACTCTACCCTGTGAGTTGGGTGGTTTTCATTTGGAAGAGTTATGACGCCTCATGGTGAAAGCCGAATTTCTTCGAAAGTCATCAGGCTGATGTTCCTTCTGATAACCAGAGCAACAATTAATGTAGCTGCATGGAATGTTCGCACAATGCGGGAGACCAGGAGGACTATTCAAGTTGCTGTGGAAGTAAAACGAAACAACCTGGTGTCGCTTAGAATAAGTGAGACCCATAAGACGCAGCTACATCGGTTTCACCCGACCACACTACGGAAACCCTGATCGATCTCATGTGCATCAACAAAAGTTCAGAGGGACCATTGAAGACGTAAGAACAAAGAGTAGAGCTCACACAGCCTGCGATCACAACCTGGCAATGGTCAAAATGAAACTGAGACTAAAGAAGTACTGGACAACTAAACGAACAGCATCATAGAAATTCAATACAGCTTTTCTTCAAGATATAAGCAAACTCAACGAATTCAGGATCTCTCTGAGCAATAAGTTCCAGGCCTTTCGCAGTCCGAATACACAGAAGCAAACAATCAAGTGAAAAGGAGCACTAAAGCTGACAAATGTAAATATGTGGAAGACCCAGCAGTGACGGCAGAAAAAGCTACAGGAGAAGGAGAGACAACTATACGATACAACGAAGCTCTCTGGAAAGTACGGTAAACAAGAACGGCCAGTGACGAAGAACAAGGAAGGCAAGCAATGACCGATATTCAAGAACCGAAGAAGAGGTGGGTAGAGCGATTTAAAGAACTCTTGAGTAGACCAGTCTCACTGGGTCCATTCAACATCTAAGTGGCCACAGCAGATCTCACAATTGATGTTAACTCACCGACAATTGAAGAAATCAGCATGACTGTCAGACAAATCAAGAGTAGTAAGGTAGGTGGGGCAAGACAGCTTACCAGCTGAGGCACTGAGAACAGACATCGGAATAACTGTAGAGATGTTCCACGATCTCTTCATTCAGATTTGGGAGGAAGAACAGATGCCAACAGACTGGAAAGAAGGACACCTCACCAAGCTATAAAAGGAAGGAAATTTCAGCAAGTATGAGAACTAAAGAGGCATCACTCTACTATCAGTACCAGAAAGAGTCTTCTGGTGAGTGTTGTTATACCGAATGAAAGATTCCGTCGACTTCCAACTTCGAGATCAGCGGGCTGGATTCCATAATGACCGATTCTGTACCGACCAAATCGCGACACTACGAATCACTGTGGAACAATCAGTTAAATGGAACCCACCACTCTACATCAACTTTCTTGACTACGAGAAACCATTTGATAGCGTGGACCGGATGACATTTTGGAAACTCCGACACTACGATGTACCTGAAAAGATAGTCAACATCATACTGAATTCTTATAAACTGCGAAGTCGTTCATGGAGGACAGCTTACAAACTCATTCTGATCGGAGACCAACGTCAGACATGGTTGCTTATTCTCACCATTTCTCTTCCGGTGGTTGACTGAATGGTGAAAGTTTCCACATCTGAGGGGAAGCACGGAATACAGTAGACAGCTCGGGTGCAGTCGGATGATCTGGTTCTTCTGTCCCATACACTGCACAAGTACGGGGGAAGACGGCTAATGAAGCATAGTCTCTGCAGCAGTAGATCTTAACAAGGGAAAAGCAAGATCCTATATACAACACAGCACGCACCGACTAAATCACACTTGTTGTTAAAGCTTTGCAGGATGTGGAAACCTTTACATATTTGTGCAGAATCATTGATGAGCAGGGCGGATATGATGCAGATGTGAAGACATTGATTGGCAGAGTAAGGGTAGTATTTGTTCATTTGAAGAACGTCTGAAACTCAGAACAACTGTCAACCAACACCGAAGTCACAGTTTTCAATACAAACGTCAAGACGGTTCTATTATATGGAGCGGTAAGTACTGTTAGACTGATTGTTGTTTTTTAATTCAAGGAATACAAAACAACTTTAAATAAAATGACTGGTTTTTTTAAAGTAAAGATACTCTGGCGTGATATTTTAATCCATGTACATCATTATCATCATGGATATACCATTAGGTTGAATATGATAACTCATTGTCTCTGCCTAAATCTACGATATATTTGTGTGTAAACAGACTGAATTATATGGTCAGCGTACTTCAGTCGGTACAGAAGAAATGAATGCTTTGAGAACTGGAAATAGACATGAAAAAAATGAATAGCGATCGGTTAGAACTGGTTAGTAAGGCTCAGGATAGAGTTGGTTGGAAACTCCTGATAGGTGGCCTATGCTGCAATAGGGGTAACAGGAGTAAGTAAATAAGTAGGTCTGACTCGCATCGTATACTAACGTATATGATTTATCGTCACCTAAGAAGTTGAATTGCAGATTGAGTCTTCTTTAGTTTTGATGATTCGGGGGGATAATTGTTTGAGTAAAAAATAAATTGGAAACTTATTCAGAGAAACAATCACATACGTGAAGAAAAAAGGCAACAAAATAGGATGGATAGAATACCAAACACTATATAAACTTAAGGGTCCGAATTTTAGGTCGGTTTGCTAATCTTGTTGTTTCGTGATTAGTACTGGTTATGATTCTGATTTTGAATTATTGTAGTGTGTCAAAATATATTTTCCCGTTTGTTTTGAATAATTCTCAGCCTTGTCGACGTACTGGGAGAGGTTCAACTGGTTCAGTGACAAATACAATTTCGCCAAGTTCTCACATACCTGTTTCCACTTGTGATGTACGACCGAATACAGTTACACCAAAGACAGGAAATAGTGGTTCTCGTCATCGTTCAGCATCTGGAACGTGCCAGGAAATTATTACAACTCCAGAGTCTAAGTGTGTTGATGAAATCGCAGAATGCAAGTCAATAACTCCGATAGCAGAAAAAATAGAGATTTTCTTTGCTCACCAGGTTGTTCAAAATTCTTGCGCTACACACGCTTTACTGAGTATCCTACTAAATAGACCTGAAATAAATATAGGACATATGTTAGCAGAGTTTCAAAAAGCCACGCGTCATTTATCGCCGGAAGCCAAAGGTCTTGCCATCGGAAGTATGCCACAACTTGCTCAGGCACATAATCGACATGCTGCAAAACCACCAACCGTTTGTGAAAACGAAACGCCATCTAATTTAGTATTACCTGAACCAAGTCAAGCTGCAGCAAATGCAGCGGCAATCGCTAAGGCCAGTATAGGAACGGTGAATTGTGTAAATTCATCAGATTCAAGTCCTAGTCTAGCTACTACTACAGTATCTAACGTAACAGTTCCCGATACATTTCATTTTGTTTGTTATGTTCCTATTGGTGGGTTTTTATATGAACTGGATGGTCTTACATCTGAGCCAATCAATCACGGTCCTTTAAAAAATCCAGATGATCAATTTGCTTGGACTGAACAGTGTGCTGATGTTTTAAAGGAACGTATGCAAGAAGTAGGTTAAAGTGCATTGAATACTATTATTATAAAATATATTTCCTTAATTGTTTTATTTAAGATTTTCTTTACAATATTCTCAACATTTTATTTATCCTTAACATCAACACAAAAGTATGATGAAATAGGAGTGAGCCGTACTGGATGTGTTTGATTTTTTTAAGAAATGCCCAAGTACGGCTGAGGTTGAGGAGGGTTTCTTTTTGTTTTCGAAACACACTCATGTGACCACAGATTTACAGCTAATGTCGACGAATTCCTGCTCACTTATAACATTAAAGGCGTTTACGAAATTTAGGGTGCTAAGATCGAACGTTCAGGACTTAGACCGGTTTGATGGATACGGAAAATCTTCTTACGGGAGTCAAAAAACTCTAATTCCAAACCGATGGTGTAAATGAGGTCCAGAATCTCAATAAATTGGTTACCATGGAACCACACCTCCAAACATTGCGCCACTGCCCTGTGGATTGCACTTGTCACTTAAAGGCTTGGGGAGTGGCCTCCTAAAACAACCACCTACTTCGGTTTGGGTACTTGGGCAATTTCCTTGCTCACATACGTCTTATAATGATTGAGACTGAGGAAAATTCTATATGCCTTACTTTCTTGTAATCTATATTGGAAATTATTTGGTTATATTTACGTCTATTTTATACTGCCTCACCGTTCTATTCTTTATACCCGATTCGACGTATACTTCTACTTTTCAACTCACTCAGCAGCTTGTCAGTGGTGAGAGTTCTATTCTGTTTGAATAATTCAAGTCTCTAACCGATTAGTATTTGGAATACTCCCATCAAATACGTGTATTGATTATGTCTTCGCCGTCCACCGACTTTAGAGGGTCGCCTTACTGATTACAGGCCAATACTTGTTGTTTCTTGACATTAAGACCACCTTCAATTTATCTATTGAAGATTGTGCTCAAGTTCAGTAACACTTCGAATGCTCTTTATGCAAACACTTCAAGAACAGTAAAGGCACACCACCACCCGTCACCTTTGTTATAGGTTAGTCAAGGTAGCCCTATCTCACCATCCCTCTATAGCTTTGTCATTGATGACGTTCTGGAAACAGCTTTGATGGTGTGGTGTGGATCTGTTTACTGAAGAGTCCTTTTAATCTTGAATATGTAGATGATAGTATCGTACTGTGTGATGATACTCAAGTTATGCAACTTGCACTTAATCAGTTGGCAATCGATATCCGTGGGTATAGCCAGTGCCTTGTACCGTGTAGGTGCAGAGTACGTTAGGGGACTGACAAGAGCTAGTGTATGCACTCACTGTTGATAGTGAGCAGTTATAAATCGAGAAGTTGGTGTATCAGCGTGGTTGTGCAAATACTGGCGGTGGCTTGAATGATGAGATTAGTCTGTATATAGTAGAGGCCAGAGAAGCTTTCACGAATCTGGGCCACTTTTGGCGCCTTTGTGATGTTAGTCTGTTTGTGAAAGAGGGGGAGGGGGACATATAACTCGTGTACTATTTGTCAACTCTTGGACTGTTTGGAAGAAGCAGAGGCGGTCAGTATATGAAGGGAGACCCTCATGACTCAGTGGTTTCGGTTCTAGAGAAATTGTAACTTTGCGGCTCCATATGTTATCAGATATAGCTCAGAATAGAAGCTAGTAATAGTTGTGCTTTATTCATGCGTGTGATATAGTTAAACAAAAATTAATTATTCTGTAGGAGTAAATAGTTTTGTAAGAAGTGGTCTTTTTTTTAAGCAAAATTGTTCTTTAACAGAGTATTTTTTTTCGGTGAACTATTTATTATCATCATCCGCGGAACTAGACGCAATCAAGTAAACTATAAAACCTCTACTTTAAAGAGTACTGAGTAATCTGTTTTGATAGTTTTTCTACATTACTTAATTACTTATCTCTTATTTTGAATTCCAAAGGTAACTCCATATATTGATGTTTTCTTATGAACTATTAGTTTCTTAAATGGAACTAATCACGATTAGAATTGTTGTTTTATTTGCAAGTTTGAGTGAGAAATGTATGTCATTTGGCATATATTGATGTTTAAAGTTGGTTTAGGCATTCTATCACATTAAATAGGTTCACAAGTTAACACTTTAAGCATATATATTATGATACGAGTTGCCCGATATAGTTACTTTTGATACAAAAAGGTGCGGTTTACAAGTGAACATGTGAAGCTGTTTATCGTTTTCAAGTTGAGTTCACATTTCAAGTTCAAGATTTAGTCAGTAATCGACGATATAAAACCAGTTTTTAAAATGAATGTGTTTCAGTCTAAGCTGTTACATGTTGAATTAACACAACAAAAGAAATCAACACATCGATAAACAGTAGTGTAGTTGATAGTATAAACTATAATTGAAAGTTAAACTTAAAAATGCAGGTCAAAAAGAACGAATAAGATCAAGGGATGAAAGGCATAATATTGACACGAAGATCAATATTTGTTTCCGTACTAAGACTGGTTTTAATTGTATCAATCCTTAGTAATATCACCTAAAGCTTAATCAAGAAATGCAACTCGTACGGCTCAGTTCAGTAGTTAACGACTTCATAGACTGAGGTAGTCCTCTTCATAAGACGAAGAGAATGCAGTGACTGGAAGCATATCTCTGGTGAAATTAAATATAGAAGGTTGTAGGGACTAACGTCGATGGAATTAAATCTGTCGATTGATAGAATCGAACGAAGGCATCATTTGCAAAAGACGCATCTGGAGGATCTCGATAAACTGAATCACTTGTGAACTTAAAGAATAAAAAAATCAGTAAGTAAACTTCTAAAGATCGAAGTCACGATAAATATTAGACGAATCCAAGAAATGTTATACTAGGATTCACAGTTTTTGAATAGTTTGATGCTTAAAGACTAGCTTTTCAGGTCATTTATGTACACATAATTTGATCTTAAGACTAATAATAACTTCGTTTGCCATAAACAATACACTTATGTTTCCCACATAATATATACAGTAGATTCATATGCTTAATATTTTCATGACAAAAGACTAAGTGTTTTTAGTTTATTTAATCATTTATCTGTGTGTGGTGTTTAACCTCGACAGAAATCGTATACTCTGCTTAAAACAATTTATCACTTTTTTTATTTAGCTTATAATTGCATTTCTATAGATTTGATCACTTTTTCTTCAATTCTTTGTTTTCAAACTCCGCCTTCGTGATCATAGCAAGATGTTCGGTATAATTTGTTAGCTGTTGTACCAGATCGTCGTGTGGCGCTCACCAAACGTATGCAAATGTTAAAACGTAATCGTCAACTTATTCAAGATATTCTATTTCGCATGTGTCAATTTGATTATACATCTAAGTCACTACATTGTGCTAATAGTAATACTACTGTTACATCGATAATAACAACTGCTACTACTAATACTAATGCTGTTGCAACGACAACAACATCAGCAGCAACTTTATTAACAACATCAACATCATCATCAACAACAACAACTACTACTAGTACTGTTCCTATCAATCATAATCATTCACATAATCAACCTAATGGTCATCGTCATGTTCATTCTCATTCTATTGAAGAAAAATATAAACTAAATCATTCTGAAAAATTTCTTAATGATAACAACTGTGCACACCTATCAAATTCATCACCGTCTATATCTGTGGAACAACAACAAAACTCTCCATGCATAGAGAAATGTTCACCTAAAAGCACAAATATGCATAGTTGTACCAACAATACTACTACCACTACCACTACTACTACTACAAACAATAACAATGTTGATAAAAACAAGTAAGTCATTACTTCATTACTTCCTTTATTATCGTTCATATTTGTTGGTCTTGAAAATCTCTGATATTCATTGTGAATTATCACTAGAAATAAGTTTTTTTGATAAATATGACAACTAAGCTACTGTATTACAAATGACTATTGTTTATGTTTGAATTCTCATACTGTTATATATTTGAATAAGTTTCCTACTGATAATTTTGACTGGATGAGAAAAAAACCATCTGCTTATTTAATATACCCTATCACTTTCAACTGTTATCATTGTTATTACTATTATTACTATTATTACATAGTTTTGATACATGAGTGATTTCTTGTTAATTAGTGAATACTTCATGAGTTTATTTATTACAGAACGTTCTTTGACCTTAAACTATTTGGAGAAATTAGTCTAGATAGTATGTATTATCAGTATAACTATCTAATGAGCTTTTTAATTAGTCTTGAGTTTTTTATTAAGGGAAAAATATTTTTGTTGGACTTTCTTATTGCACTTGTTCAGTGTATTTTACCTGCACTGTTTTTGTAGAATATAGGAAAATCATTTGCATAATCATTGACTGTCAACTTTTATACATCAAACAATGTCCACTACAAGACCTATTTGTTCTACTTAATCAGAGTATATATAAACCGATCAAGAGTAGTTGCATTGCTTAAGAAATCAAGTTGATCACTCTGAATTAACACTTGCTACATCAACAGAACTAATTTTTCATCATATGAAAGTCCTAAATCTCTGTTAAAACTCAGCCCATTCCTCCCTTCTTCCTCTATCTCAACAACAACAACAACAACCTTCCTCGTTACATTTTTACTTTTTCCTTTCTGTGATTTATGTCGGATGTAATCTCTTAGTGTCATGTAACTGTTTGACTCGAGGAGGTTGTGTCCGAATGACACTGGGCTCACTAATTTTTGTGACACGTCTGTATATTCCACTCATTCGTCTCGCAGACCCCAACCAGGGGTTCGTGAGACGATAGTAACCGATGGTTAGAGACCTTGGACGACATGGCTCAAAATTGTTTGCAATGGTGCAGGTGCATCCACTCTTTGTGTTCTCTCAAATCCTAATCTTCTGGATTCGTCAACACCTTTACCTTTGTCTTTCTAAACTTATCTCACTGAATTATACTTCTTGAATAATATCTTCAAATCCTAATCTTCTCCATTACTTCTAATACTTTTACTATCTCTACCACTATGGGATTTGAATTGACAATCGTGTCTCTGTGCTAACGTGGTATGGCAAACTGAACTGATGTACTTACGTATGAAGTTCTACGTTGCTGACTGACACAGACGAATTGTGAAAGATGAGTAGGTGAAGCGTTAAGTTTGGCTATACTCCAACTCTTTATATGACTCTTTAAATGAATATATATATTTAATGGAATCAGATAATCAATAAACACTTATATGCACAGGTTAAGCATGCGTAAGAACTTACATGTATTGATCTTAGTTATAAGAAGTATAGAATTGCTGTGAGAATAACAATGACCCATTAGTCACATGCTGTCTGAATTATTATTGTATTTCCAAAATTAGGAATAAAATCCACGTAGGTTTATTCTTATGTGCCATTGCAGTAGTGCCAATTGTTCTACAGTATCTCTATCTTTTCTCAGTCTTCTACACCATTATTTATGCTCCGAGCAAGATAAGAAGTAGTTTTTATCCATTCATTGCAAAATCGGTCAGTTAGACGTATTGTAGAAACTGATACATATGTATATTGGTCCAGGTTACTATTCCTCATTAGTACAGCGAGATTAGATTTTCAGGGTAAATATCAGAGTAGCTGAGGTAGTAACATTATCAGTGGTGGTAGAAAAGATTAGGCATCGAATTCACCATTCAGGTAAACGTTAACTTACTAATATCCTCTATCTTTTAGTGGTCACGTCTCACATTTATAGAATAAAATGTAGTTACTGCTGGACAATATACTTGTTCTTTAGTTGGTAGACAGATATCTCACGACACGAGTGATGAAAGTTGCTAAAGGCTAATTGAGCTTTCTAAATTTATATAGAGATTTCATCAGACTTGAACCTACCAGGGCTGATGCGACTTCTGGGTAAGTGAAGTGGTTAGTCAGTTAGTCAGTCAGTCAGTTACAACGTAGAACTTCGTACGTACGTCTAAGTTGTCATACCACGTTAGCACAGAGACACAGTTATCAATTCAGATCCCATAGTAGTAGAGGTGGTAGAAGTATTAGCAGTAATCAAAAAGATTAATGATCGAACATATCATTCGAGACGTATACCCCAGAGGAATCAGTTAAAAAAAGAGAAAAAACGGTTATGAGGAATTCAGAAGATTAAGATTGGAAAGAACACAAAACTAAGTGATCGATACGTTCAACTACTCCACTCTCTAAAACTAATCTAGGCGTTGACGCAAACTGGTTTCGAAGTAATATTTTGCATTTAGAAGGAAATAACAATATTCAGAACATGTTTAGATTGTTGCAGAAGACGATCAGAGAACGTTTTGTGAGCTTCTTTATCAATCAGAACTAATATGTCATCTGCTTACTTAAATTTAACAAGTGAATCTCTAATTAGGAGATCAATCTGTAAGACGACAAAAAAGTTATCCCTAAAAGTATGTCTGTAGCACTGTTAAGTAGAAATGGAGAGAGCGAACAGCCCCGACGAACACCACGTGAGGTTGACAATAATATTGACAGTTCCTTATAAGTTCCGATTTTATCAGTATTGTTAGGGGAGGGCACTTTTAAGAGTTTAATGTACTTCTTAGTAAAGTCGTTAAATGACAAAAACTGCTACAAAACTTCACGATCAACAGAGTTGACTACTTCTTTGCGGTCGAGCTGTATAACCGTGATTGGAAGTCGTATGGTATATTTGTATCATGATGTTACGAAGTTTCCAATAAAGTTAGTAAGGTGATGGACGATGTTACAAGGAGAATTAACCTGAAACTAGAAACTGTGTTGGCATGAACATATTCTGTAGCTAAATTGATTGTTTTCTCCAAGAAAACATGTTCTTTAAAACTCTCAAAGGTCGACAGGTACCCGTTTCATGTTACTGCCAACTGTGTATGTAAATTCACATGCATTTGCCAAAGCAGTTACATTGATAGAACAGAAAGAAGTGCCTACATCCAATTCAAGGAACATATTACAAAAAGTCTACGGTCAAGTGGACTAAAAGCATTCAGCAGCGTGATGTCGACACATCTCTGTGATGCAGGACATCAAATGGATACACTGAAGTCTTTCATGGTGATCAATAGGCAATCGAGTCCTTATCTGAAATTTGCCGAATTTATATCTTAAAAAAAGAAACAGTAATAAATCTTTCTTAACCCTCATTACATCATATCCATTCTGTTACATCATTCTTTATTGCAACTCTTTTTCATGCTTTGATTACATCGTTTTCATTTCTATCGAGTTCACAATTTTGATTCTGATTGACTATTTTCAACTCATATTATTCTTTGTTAATCTGACCTTGGTTACTTCATTTCAAAATCATCTGAAGTTTGTAAACTCCTTGATTTCGAATAACTAATTCGATATTCTGGAACTTCTTCTCTCTCTTTATATATATATATATCAATAAATAAAGTGTATGTCAGTCAACTTTGGTATTCATTTCAATCATAAGATTTTCATGGATAATTAAGAAGAAAACTTTGCTTTCATACTTTTTGTATGTAATATTTATGGTAAATTATTGTTTTTTTTTACTTGAATTATTTTCTCTACTATTTTTTACTTACTCAGTTGGATTTTAATATTCTTAACTAATCTATCTATATGATTAAAACAGTATTTTTAATATTTATGTTTTTCTATATTTTTAGACATGAACCATCTGATGATCTTGAAAATTCACGTTCCATAAAAACTCGTTCAGTGACACGTGCTGCTAAACAAGTAAATTGTGAAAATCACAACTATCATGAATCAGAATTAAATGAATCAATTTATCAAAAACAATGTAATAATAATAATAATAATAATAATAATAATAATAATGATCATTCTCTATCTGATACTATTTTAACTGACAGTATACATTCTTCTCTCAATGATGATTATAATAAATTTTGTTTTTCAACTCGTAAACGTTCCTCCTATTCATTATCAAGTGAACATGATGATCCGGATTATTGGAATTGTCAGCATAAGAAACCTTATTTACAAATGCCTCAACATGATAATAATAATAACAATAATAGTTATAATTGTAATTCTCAATTAGAATATTCATCGAATACAAATAAAATAAATAAAATTTTCGCTTCTTTCATTTCAAATAGTCCACCTTTACCTCTTAGTGTATTTACTGAAACAATGTGTAGTACAGTTGACAAGTTGAATATCAATAAGACATCTCATTCAATAAGAGATGATTGTAAAGAATCTAAGGGAAATCTTCATGATATACAAGATTTAGAAAATGGTCTATCGAATGGAATTTCAATTAAATCAGAAGAAAATTGTTTGTATGACGTGAAGAATTTCCATTCACATGATCATGATACAGATCGATTAATAAAAGTAAGTGTTTTATATTTAATGTTTTTACTATTTGTTAATGACATTTTGAATGGTAATTATTTATTCAAATACGTAAACATTCATATCAAATAGAACCAGAATATATATACACCATGCAGATCTTTGAATTTGTGTGTAAGCTGTGATGCTGCTTGGTTGCGCAAACTGAAGCATTTGGTTTCCTTAGAGAATTACCATTATGATGTGCGGGCCCTAGAGCTTATTGTGATTTATGCTAACTCTTCAAACTGGCTACTTGAGCAAGAAGGCACGAGCGGATGAGAAAATCTGTTTGACTGCCGAGTCATATATACTTCCCTGGCAGTGGCTATATACTTATGGCCATATGAGAACACCTCAAAAAGGATAAGGAACTCTCCTTGCTCTCGGCCGTACCACAGCATTTAAGAGTCATCTTGAATATACTACTATTTAATATGTAGTAGCAGTCTGTGTGGACTGATTCGGTAATCACTTCTAATTCCAACTCCATTGATAGTAAAATATAAAGACACTTAACAATCGACTGAATTATCTCGGTGACGTGATACTGTGAATCAAAAAATTTTTTAACCATAGTGTTCTGGTTGAATTAATTGTTCTGATGATAAATAGGGAAATAAGAAGGAAAGCTGAAATCACGTAACAAGCACTCATGTTTAAAGTACAACAATTTTATTAATTCGTAGGTCAATTATTTGATTGACATAGAGAATCAACAAGAAAAGATCTGTTTAATTCTTTATTGAATAGGACTGAAACAATTTCCCTGCTCAGTTTATCCTGTTAGAATCATCGACCTAGTGTCCAAATTTGATCTCGTATACTTCATTATGTCTGTTCCAGTTGTATTCCTGTGTCTACTAATAAACTAGAAGACGACCAACAGATTGAGATCAAACAGATAATAATATGGTTAATACTCAGACAGACAGACAGATACAACGCAGAACTTCTTACATAAGTACATCAGTTCAGGTTGCCATACCACGTCAGCACAGAGACGTAACTATCAGTTCAAATCCAAGAGTGATAGCGATAGTAGAATTATTAGCAGCAATGGAGAAGATTAGGGAGCAATGATATGATTCGAGAGGTTTAATTCAGCGAGATAATTTTAGAAGGAGAAAGATGGAGATTATGAGGAATTCAGAAGGTTAGAATTAGAGAGAACACAAAGAGTGGTTAATACTCACAATTCAAATAATATTTATCGCACTGTTTTATAGGTAGTCATATTGTGTTAACAGAGTTTTCTGATTTATTATCTATTTTTTCTTTATAGACATGTCAACTTTTTAACAAATCCTAGTATAAGAATAATGTCCTGTCGTTTATTTGCAATATTGTTTGTTTTGACCTTTTCAATGGTAATTCCTTATTCTGGTTTATTTTGTTACTATTTGTATTGAACATAAACAATTAACTTTAAATCACCGTTGTTACTTTTTATGAATATCTTCAAGTGCAACTGATGAGTTCTCATTATTTACAGTTACATTTTGCATCATATTTTATATAATTGGAAAATACTTGTAAATATTTAATGTAATGAAAGATTTTCTCATTATTTCTTAGGAAACGTCCACATCTACGAGTTGTACTGAATTTAATTCTTTTAAGGTTAATGATCCTATATTATGTAGTCGATCAACATTTTTGGATAAACAAAACATTCCATTAAAAGAACTTACTAAACCTCTAGTTGTTGAAACAAAATTATGGTGTGATACTAGTTCGGAAAATTTATATACTGATAACTCGGAAACAGCTGTTACAAATGATATATATCCTACAAATTCATCTAATCAAATTTGTGGTACTGTTATAGATTCACGTCCACAAACACGAGCGCTTACTAGAGCATCTTTAAAACAAAATTCACTTAGTTCAATGCAAGCATCAACTGAAGAACAAATTTCTACCATCAAAAATTCATCTGATAATTTACAATTAAATAATGAATCCGGTGTATATAATTCAAATGTTTTACTCAAGTATCGTTCATCTGCAGAACTTTCCCCAATCACTACAGAATTTTCAGCTGAATGTAAGTGTTGTCTTATTGATCTCAGTTTGTTGTTACGAACTATGTGTATATCGATTCAGTCTTGCCCATCCAATCGTTGATATTTTGATTTTCGCGTTTTGATTTGTCTTAGTTGGTATATGAACCTCTGGATTTTCGTAAGCGAAAGGTACGAGTGAGCGTTAACTTTATAAGTCCAGGTACATCCAGCTGACGAGTCCTAAATAGGACGAAACGCATATCTTGGATTCTACTGTTAACCATATTCCATTTATGTTATGTGCATATATCAGTTAACATGTTTTCTGTTGAGACAACGTTTGTTATTCTTTGTTTTTATTTATATTCAAATATGACATTTATGGTAAATGATGTTTTTTTCATATGGAAAATATGTTTCATCTCACAGAAACTGATTAACATAATGGTATTTTTGCAAAACGTGTTTAAAATGCAATAGTAGTAAAAGATGAAATACGTCAGAGAAAAAAACCTAATTAATACAACTATCTAAAATTTGGCATATGGTTCAAAGAATAAACATCATTATGTTAACCGGTATCTATAAAACGAAACGTATTTTCCATATGAAAAAAGACTCTCGACCGTAGCTTCTACCATAACGTGGTGGTCGGGCTTACCTATCGTCAGTCAGTCAGTCAGTTGCAACGTAGAACTTCGTACGTATGTACATAAGTTCATGTTGCCATACCACATTATTAGCACAGAGACGCAAATGTCAAATCAAATCCCATAGTGATAAAGATAGTAGAGGTATTAATGTTATAATAAAGAAGACTAGGGTTTAAGATATTATTCAAAAAATATAATTCAGTGAGATAAGGTTAGAAAGACAAAGGTAGAGGTGCTGGCTAATCCAGAAGATTAGGATTTGAGAGAGCTCAAAGAGTGGATGCACCTGCGCCATTGCAAACGATTTTGAGCCATGTCGTTCAAGGTCTCTAACCATTGATGACTTTCGTCTCGCGGACCCCAACCAGGTAGTCTACATCTACCAACATGACTCAGTCCACTTGTCAGTGACTTCATGGATTTCTGCCATGTTTTGGTCTGGCCGCCCCTAGCTTTCTTCCAACCTACTCCTACACCACAAAACATAGCTCGTCGAGGCAGTCGGTGGTTAGGCATACGTAACACATGTCCCAACCACCTCAACTGATGAAGTTTCACCACTTCATCGATTGATCTGCCATCCTTACCTAGTACTCGTTTCCTAACGACAGCATTGCTTATACGGTTGTCCCACGATATACGAGCAATGCTTCTTAAACATCTATGATCGAATACTAGTAACCTACGAACATCTTCTACTCTTAACGGCCATGTTTCACAGCCATATAAGAGAACGGAACGAACTGCTGCGCAGTACACCCACCCTTTGGTTAGCGAACGGATATCACGCCTACGCCATAAGTGACGCAGGTTGGCAAAAGCCAATCGAGCCTTCTGTATCCGTGCTGAGATTTCGTCAGTCACCAGACCGTCAGCACTGATGAGACTCCCCAGATAAGTGAAGTGATCTACACGCTCGACTACTTCACTCCCTATCACTAGTTCAGGTGCCAATGCAACCCAGTCTTGAAGCAACATTTTGCATTTCGAGGGGGAAAACCGCATCCCGAACATGCTCGCATTGTTGCTTATGGTAGTCAGAAGACTCTGTATTTTGTCAGCGTCTTCACCGAATAGAACTATGTCATCGGCATATTCTAGAACAGTAAGCGACTTTCCTGGTAGGTCAACCCCTGAAAAATCTGACGAGCTTAATGCTAACTCTAAGAGGATGTCTACGACAAAGTTAAACAAGAATGGAGAGAGTGGACAGCCCTGACGGACACCACTTGATGTTGAGAATTCAGATGACAGTTCGTCATAGGCTCTCACCCGACCAGTGGTGTTCGAGTAGAGTGCTTGTATAAGGTTAATGTACTTCTTTGGTACACCTTTCAATGACAGACACTGCCTCAGAACCTCACGATCCACTGAGTCGAATGCCGCCTTAAGGTCCAGGAACACGACTATTGTCGGACGTCTAAATGTGTGTCTGTGTTCCAGGACCTGTCGTAGTGTGAAGATGTGGTCTATACAACCACGTCCAGGTCGAAAACCAGCCTGGTTTTCTCGAGTCTGCTCTTCACGAGCTCTAGTTAGACGTCTAAGTATAATCGAGGCTAACAATTTAGAAACTATATTAGTTAAACTTATTCCCCTGTGGTTGTCACAAGAGGACTTCTGTCCTTTCTTGTAGATTGGGACAATTAGCGACTGAGACCAGTCAGATGGGATTACGTCCAGTTCCCAGATTCTACCTAGGATCTCGGTCAGTTTAACCGTTAAAACTGGACCACCATCCTTAAACATCTCAGGGGTAAGCCTATCAGGACCTGCCGCTCTACCTCTCCTTAGATTTCCTATAGCTTTCTCAACTTCAAGTAAACTGGGAGGACTTAAATCGATTTGCCATTCAGGATGACTGAAGATCGTGGGCAACCGAAGAGTGGCTGAAGGCCAGTTGAACTGATCCCTAAAGTGTTCTGCCCATCGGTCCAGCCTCCTAGATTGAGAATGGATAATAAGACCATCCTTTTCCGAGATAGTCTCACTTACATTCGATTTCCTAATACCGGTTTCTTTAATAAGGCGGAAAAGTTGTCTAGTGTTGCCTATCGCCGCTGCCTTTTCCATCGCTTTTGCTTTCGCCACCCACCACTGTTCGCGGTCGTTACGTAGGCTTTTTATAAGTCTGCGCCTAAGCTGACTACGCTCTTCATCATGCTCAGAGTCAGGTGGGGTGCGTTTTCGAGCATCCATCAGTTCGGTGGATGCGACTGAAATCCACTGCTTCATCCTAGCATTGTGGTTTACCTTGCTAGCAGATACCATTGCTGTTTCCACAGCCTTCTTGATATGATTCCAACCTGCTTCAGGATGGGAATCACTCTCATGGCCGCCTAACTGTTTTTCTAGTTCCTCCTGAAATATTTTCTTAGCTTGATTATCATCAAGTAAAGCCCTAAGAGGCTTCCTTACGGTGTCTTTCCTACGTCCAGCAAGCCTCAAACAAATACGTGCTCGCACTAGGGCATGATCTGTATCCAAACATGTGCCCCAGAACGAGCGGCAGTCCTCTATCGAACCCCTCCATCGGTGGCTGATGGCGATATGATCTAGTTGTGTCCAACGTTGAGACGACTTTGGGGGTCGCCAGGTCAAAAGGTGTTTTTCCTTATGCTTAAAATTAGTGTTTGCTAGAAATAGTTGGTTATCTGAGCACAGTTGCATTAGACGGTCGCCATTGTCTGTTCTTTGAGCCGCGAGACTGTAACATCCACCTAGGTGTCTTTCATTTTCACTCAGTCTACCTACTTGTGCATTGAAGTCACCAGCCATTATAACTATATCAGAGCGCTTAACTTTTTGGAGGAGGTCCGAAAGCTTTCTGTAAAACTCATCTTTTACATCATCTGGGCTGCAGTCAGTGGGGGCGTAGGCTGATATGACGAAGAGGCAACGACGAGTGTCCCTATCTTTCCGAGTCCTTACTGTCCCGTTCAGTCGGACGGCGTTACCTATCGTGATGAGCCAACAAAGCTATATTGTTTGGAAGATATGTTCCTGTAGGTCCTATCATGACAGGCAGGTCGATTAGAGAACGATGAAACTAAAAGCAGCAACTGAAGGTCTGAGGGCGAAGTCGTACTGATGACTGTAGAGAGGTGTTACAGCAGTAAGGTGTTTCCCTCAGACAAACATCATCTGCAGCGATGCTGCCTTCTCACAAGGAAGGAAGGGGTTAAAATGGTCAACCCTGTATATATCATATCACACTTTACCTCACGGATTTCCGTCCGGCGGTGAGGCCTTTCAATCAAGAGCGGATCTAACACTTGGATAACCCCGTAAAAGATCGTGCGTAAAGGACCTCAAGCAGTTGTCCCTTGGGTTCTGCGGTCACTCTCCAAGGTCTCTAAGACCAAGGCTAATGCAATTTAATTTTCAGTTCCTTCTAGGAATACCCTTCCTCGGTTTGGGCAGCCAGAAAGTGACATCCGCTCTCATACCCGTAACAACACACGAGACCCAATTGGTCACAATCAAATCCTTCCTACACCGCAAAATAAATTTCTTATCTCCACGACCAACTCTTCTTTCATTCGTTTGTCACCTTGCATCGCTAGTGCAAACATTTCGAGTTCATGAAAATTTATTCCCGATCCCTTGAAACCGCGTTCTAAAGTACATGTTGGAGCTTTGAATGTCCGCATGTTGTGCGAAATAGGACAACAGACTTCGTTAGCTATGACTCTGGAATCTCGTGCCATTGATGTGTTCTGCGTCTCTGAATCGCGCATACAGGATCCGAGTAGCGTCATTCATTCGACTTCATATTGTCAAGATAAAGAACAGTCTCGATTTATACTTCGTGTATCCGGAAGCCCCACTTCTCATTCCTGTGGCCTCGTTAGTGTAGGTATAGCACTGAGTTGTAAAGCAGAACTAAGTGTTAGACTGAATTCCAGTAGGTAGTTGCTCATAAGACTATCCGACTAAATGGGACAGTAAGGGCTCGTAAAGACAGGGACAATGGTCGTTGCTTCTACGTTGTCTCTACGCACGCTCCCACTGACTGGAACTCGGACGAGATGGAAGATGAGTCTTACGGAGAGCTCTCTAACCTTCTTCTAAATGTTAAGCGCTGTGATATAGTAATGATGGCTGGTGACGAAGGCAAGTACGTCAGAATCAATTCATCACAGACTAATTGGATTGCTACGGTAGTATAATTACTCTTACTGATAACTTAACTTTGAAAAATTATCTTGTTTTTTATCAGTCGTTTTGGTTCGAACAAATCGTAAGTAATCTTTTGGGCAAGCTGTCAGATGTTGAAGACCTATATTTAATAATACTGACTATTTATTGACCACTCCGTGATTCCTCCATATAAGTTGTCTTACAGGTTTCTTTCTAGGAAAGACACCGCAAGGAAGCGTCTTAGGGTTCTACTTAATGATAGCATAGCTAAGAATATATTTTAGGAGCAATCAGAAAAACATTTAGGCGACGGTGTATGTGGTGTCCATCCCGAGTCATGTTGGAACGATGTCCGTAAAGCTGTGGAAACAGCAGTGATATCTGTTAGTAAGGTAAAACCTAAGGTTCTGGGAAACAGTGAATTTCAGTAACATTTACCAAATCTATAGATGTTCGGAAACTCATCCCGTCTGGTTCTAGACATTACGAAGAGCGGGATAAGTTTAAGCGTAGGCTGATAAATAGCCTACGCAATGATCGCGAACAGTGGTGGGTAGCTGCGGTAAGGGAGATGGAAAGGTTATCGACAGTATGTAACAGTAGATAACTGTTTAGACTTATCAAGGAAACCGGTATTAGAAATCATACTGTTAGCGAGACTCTCTTGAAAAATAATGAGCATATTATTCATTCTCAATCCAGGAGATCGAATAGATGGGCAGAACACTTTATGGATCAGGCGAGATACCCGTCTGCTATATAAAGGACAAGTATACTGAGCAGCAGTTCGTTCCATTCTACTATGCGGGTGTGAAACATGGCTAGTCAGAAGAAGATATTCATAGGTTACTAGTATTCGATTATAGGTGTCTTCGAAGAATCGCGCTTGCATCTTTGGACCATCGAGTATGCAATTCTGGTGTCAGGAAAAGCGTAGTAGATAAGGATGGTAGATCGCTATATGAAGTAGTGAATCTCTGTCAGTTAAGGTAGTTAGGATATGTGTTATCCATGCCTAACCACCGACCACTTCGACGAGCGGTGTTGTGTGATGTAGGGATAGGGTGGAAGGAAGCTAGAGGTGACCAGACCGAAAAATTGCACAAATCCATGAAGTCACTGACAAGTGGGCTGAGCCATGTTGTTAGGTGTAGACTATCTAGTTGGGGTTCGTGAAAGAATGTTTATCGATAGTCGGAGACTTTTACATGGCTGAAAATAGTTTGCAGTGGCTCAGATGTATCCATTCCTCGGTTTCTCTCAAATTCTAACCTTCTGAATTTCTCATGAAGGCTTTTTTGCTCTCTTTTTCTACTAACTTGATTCTTTTGAAATGTACTTGTCGAATGATATCTTTGGTCACTAATCGTCTTGATTATCGCTCATACTGCTACAACGTCTACACTATGGAATATGAATTGACGATTGCGTCTCTGTGCTAATGTGGTATAGTAACTTGAACTGATGAAGGTACCTACGAAGTTGTAGATTGTAACTGACTGATTGACTTGAACTAAAATTACACTTTATTTCATCTTCCTCAGTTCTATTGTTGGCAAGTTAACTGCGCGAATGATGTGGAATGTAGTGGGTTGAATGAACTTAATGTACAAGGAATAATGATTACTTCCGGTCAGTACATCGTACCTCACTAAAAGAACACTTTTCTTGTGATGGTCACCTCTTTCTATAAATCTTCAACTGACATCACATCAAAATCGAAAAATAGATGATTTGTTCACGGTGATTGGTCAGATAATGGAATGCGTCAAACTAAGTAGCAAAATGAATCAGGATTCGAAATAAAGTTTTAACTTGTAAAACGTTCGCTTGAAGTGTTGACATCTGTTTAAGTTCCAATTAAGACATGTGTCGTATTTTTACTACCAATCAGTGACTATCTTAATGTAAGTTGGAGATATAGAATAGTCAGACAATTGAATATTGAACCATTGAAACCGCTCACTTTTGAATACTATTTGGATAGTACGACTTTATAATTAAAATAAAAGATTATTTCATTATTTTATTTGATAACGACTTATTCTTCATAATGGATTCACTCTAAAATTATGGTCAGCATTTACGACAAAGTTTTTTTCATAGTTCAAACAATTTATTTCAGGCCGATGTAATTGTTTGATTTTGTACATCTGTTCATAAAGTAAGCATAACCTATGAAGAAGCAATAATAATCACAAAGGCTTAAATCGATTGAGCATGTCTATCCATTTAGTGAATAGTTTATAGCTCTAAAGGAAGTGAACCTGCTGTTATTGTGTTATTTCTCTACTTTAATGTTAATTTATTGTGTAAAATATTTTCTGATTGTATATTTCGCTTTTCTATTTCATTAAAAAAAAAAGCAGCCAACATTTCAATTTCATCCAATGATATCACTGATTCACATCGAGGATCAAAGTATCCAACAAGATCATCAACTCGAATGGATACTCTAGCTTCTCATAATTTAGCTAATCTTCGTTCAAATCCTGCTACTCTTCATAGTAATACAAGTCCTTCAAAAATTAGTCGGATCACTTCTTTTGAACAAACTTCTACGGTTACTTCCACTGCTATTGCTAATCCTAATAATACAACTATTACTTCAACATACTTATCATCTTTTACATATGATTATATGAAATTGAAAAGTTCACCAAGTTTACATCCTCCACCTTTAAGTTTGGAAGAATTGAATATCCTATTGCATAAAATAGATGAACAAATTAAACTATGCCTTAATGCTTTGATTGAAGAAGAAGAGAAACGTCGATCTTATCGTATTGATGATGCTAGACGCATACATAATTATGAACCATTTATACGGGCTTTTCTCACTGCTCTAGCTAAACATGGAATGTTACAAGATCAAGTACTATCTGCATTGAAAATGAAACATACTTCTGTAACTATTCAAAATCATAATTCATCTACACAAATATCAGATAGTTTTAAAAAATCTAATATAAAAAATCCTACTAATAACAACAATAATAATAATAAACATGTATCTAATAAAATCCATACTGAACGCATCTATTCATTGGGAAATAATTCTTCAATTAAAAATAGAACTTATCTTTCAAATTCAATAATAAATAGATTAACTCGAGTTAATCAATCTACAAACAATAATATTCGTGTCTCTCATCATTATAATTCTTTAAACTATCGTAAGCTGCGGAGGAGAAGAAGAATGAGGCATTCAATTAGAAATTCCAGTTGTACTGGAAAAGATTCAACTGAAGTCGAATCAAAATCTTCCATGTTAGTGGAATCAGATGATGCGATATCATCTTATAAACCATCTGTAACAGACGAGTCATTATCATCTATAAACACCACTGCCGCTTGTAGTTTACCAGGTGTATTAACTAACTCTACAACTTCACGTCAAGTACCAGTTGCATCTACACAAAGTCAAAACTCACGTGCAATACGAATCAGTGTAAATCAGCAACGTATTGATGAAACTAGTGAATCTACTCCACAAGGCTCATTAGTTGTTTCGAGTAGTTTATGTACAGATAGTTGTCAAAAGTCCTCTGTAACTATTGATGACAATACCATAGTTGAAGGTAGTTTAGTTTCTTCAGCTGTATCATCAGTCACCCTGGCATCTTGTTCATCATGTGGTTCATCTCCTCAGTCATCCAATTCATCCCGGTCAACTAATCTTCGATCCAATTCTACTAGTGTAAAATTAGGACAAACTAAATCGGATGATCGAGTTAATACTAGACGTTCATTACGACCACGTGCCTCTCGGGAACATGTTTTCACACAAGATGCAAATAATTCAGTTGATTCTTTTAGTGTCACATCAGAGGATCTAGACACAAACAGTAATGGAATTAATTTAAGAGATAGAACTATGAAATCATCTTCACGTATACAAAATAATGACTGTACAAATTGTACCATCACAGAATCATCTATTTCATCCAATTCTCAGCGATTTCGGAAACGACGTCTACATTGATCACTTTATCCAATCATTTATATTGATCACTTTATCCTAATTGTCTTTCTATTTAATCTTAGTTACTTTATCATAGATACCTTTTTTTGTTACTGTGCGTGTGTGTATACATCGAAAATGTTTTTTTTTATTCCTATTGTTTGTAAAGTCAGTTTATTCGTTAAAAAAAATGCGAAGGTCAGCTGTAAAAACGAGACATTTTAAGCGCTTTGTAATTATTATTATTATTACTACAGGATTTTAAAATCAATTCACTTTTCCTTGATAAAATGTATGCTCTTAATGTATGTGTATAGGCTGCATGAAATAGTATGGACGATGGATGCGACCATATTTTTTTTTACTTCTCTGTCTCATTTTATTGTTCATCTTTTTGTTTTTTTTTCCTACCTCGATATGTGTGTTGTTAGCTTTTAACATGTAGTCCAATTCTTACTGTAGTGGATTTCTTGCTTGTTAATCTTCAGCGTTTCTTAATTTAGTCCTCACATGAAATATTGATTTCTCATATATACATATATACATATACTTCCTGCAAATGTACATGGTACTTTAGGGTAACAGTTATATTGTTTGTCATTGTAATCTGTTGTAATAGAAAGCTTTTTATAAGTGTATCATATATATATATATATATATATATATATATATATATATACATAAACTCATACATTTTAATTACTCTATATTTTCTCGTTTCGTGTTTTAGATTCTTTTTGTACATGCTGATTTCTTTTTTCCCACTATCACCGATGAAATTATTAATTAGTTTCAAAAGTTAAAATGTTGTTTTTATAATGGTGATAATTTTAAATGTATATATGTACATTTTCCTACTTAAGCCTGCATGTGTACGTATATTTTTTGCTGTATAGTGAATTAGATACGTATGATGCATTCTTTCTTATTTCTTCAATATTTATTAGCTCTCAAGTGAATATAAATATTTGTATAGTTATTGATATATGACGAAATACATTACAACATCAAAATCCATTTTCATCTTTCCTACTATAAGTTTTTTATTTTTGACAAGAAATAATGTTCATGCTTTCCTGTTTCGTTTGTTTTTTTTTGTAAATTAGGTCTTTTGTGTTCATCATTACTTAAAAAAACAGTAGTAGAAATATAAAAAGATATCAAGTTGTTACATACATCAATAAGATATATCATATCATCATTGCTAGTGCTCCGATTACTATCTTCACTACTACTGTTATCATAATTAAGTAATACTAATTTTCTTTGTTTTTTTTTTAGTGTTTATTTTTCTTTTGAATTCAATTTAGCATATAAATAATGCTAATAATCACTATAAATATTCTCTTTATTGTGCAACATGAATTCATACATTATTTTATTGTATTACTGGTTGACTGGTGGTTTCTATTCTCATAGTGTTTTTGTCTCTTACTTTTCTTTTTATCAAAAATTTAAAAGCAGCAAAACTAATTATTCATACATTTATAAATATCTATATATATTCTTGTCTTTTTCCTATTATTATTCATGGGTTCGAGTGTTTTTGTTACTTTGAAGAAAAGAAACAACCAATTTACATCAGAATATTGTCATTAGGATGAGGAGGATGTGAGTACACGGTATAAAAGAAAGGTAGATCTTTCGATGTCAGCAATCCCAAGTCTGTGTTCAAGAAGTTAACGTAACTCAAGCGGTAGTGCTTTTAAAGTGCGTTTCATAAATGTTGCTTCTGAAATTTATAGATAAAGAGGTATGAGTTAAGTGAAATATTGGGAATCGTTTTCACTATTTAGTTAACCGGTCAATCTCTAGCCCTCGTTCATAAATATCATAATAAAGCCTCGATAAATTTTAATATTCGGTATCTTAGTGCACTTATTATGTCACTCGAGACGTAGTAGTAGTAGTAGTTGTTGTTGTTGTAATAGTATACTGTTTCAAACTGGATCTTGTACTTGTGTGCGTTTAAAATACTTGGGAGGTAATTCATATTTTTCGAATAAACTACAGGTTTGAGTTCGACATCTGCACGGTACTAAATATGTGACTAGGAATTCCTAATTGAGAGAAAACTTGAACTTTTTTCTTTTAGTGACTTTGTTAAACTGACTGGTCGATGAAAATGGAGATCACAAGTATGTGGAAAACAAATAATCTCAGCTATTTGGATGTAGATAATTCCAACATTTCATCCGGTAAAGCGACTTGAGGTTTGGAGAAATAATCGAAATGATCAAAAACAAATATCTAGAACAGATCAACAATAGCACCGAATTGGTTAGAAACAAGATTGATGCTTAATTTTGAAGGAACTGGAACATTTCAGTGTTATGGCAATCATGACGAACGATCGACAACGAAAGTTCTGTGTCTATAGGTGAAGCTCCTCAGAAGAGTTAAAATAAAAGTAGCTGGCTACAAAATCACGGTAACTATTGATTACAAAATAAGAATAGGCTTCTTAGCATACTTTCATTTTTACCATCCTTAATATGACTCTAAATACAACAGATGTTCAATTGTTCACTCAACTATGATGTTTGGATTTATTTTCAAATACGATATACTATCCGACTTTATAAGTAACCTATCGTTCTAGGTGCAGTTCGACGGCATTGTTGTTGGTCTGTCCGAAATTTGTGACGGACACTACGGTTTAAAATGTTATACTGATGCAACTACTTATGTGATCGGCACTTTGTAGATTTAGAAAGTATGTAAACTAATACTTTTTTGAATTTCGGTTGTATTTCAATACAAAAGTAGATTCCGGATAGTGATGCTTAATTAACTATTGATAGTGGTATCCATAATGGATTATTTATGATCTGTGTATTATTTACGGACACTGAAACCTATAAGCATTATTGAATGTAACAAATAAAGAGAACTAATGAAAATGGTTTGAATTTTGAATATTGATGAGTAGTTAGTTAAATGCAGCATAGAACGTGATACGTGTGTCTAGTAATTCAAGTTGCTATACCCCCAAATAAGAGAACAATGAATGGAAGCAGTTATGGTATTAGTGCTAATAAGCAAGATTAAGTAAGCATCGAGCCTTACAATATGAAAATTGGATAGCATCCCTTGTTGGAGTATTTTCAATCTGACTCTGTCAGTGTAAGGTAGATTTTATTTAAAGAGTTAACTTGTATAATTGCAGATATTCTTTATCAGCATCCACTTTTGAATGGAATAAGCAAACGTCCCAACAGTTCTAAAATATTCGTTGTACTAATTTGCCTGTACGGTTTAAAGCTATGAATATATTTGGTAAATTAAAAGGTACTATTTTGTTGTATATATATATATATATATATATATATATATGTTAGTATATTCTATATATATATATGTATATATTAGTATATTTTATGATTACTTCGTTACATATTATATTTATAGACAATGTAATTATATATAATAATCATGTAAAATATTTCATGAACAAATTCTATTTTCGTATTGTAAATTTTTTTTTTTAAAAAAAAACAAATTTGAAAAAAAAATTAATACTGTTCTTAATTTTCCATAACTAATAAGTTTCTCATATTCACCTTTTGTTTTCAAAGAATTGCAAATCTAAATAATATGTATAAAGTAATTCGTTGAAGTGAACTTTCTTTTGTGTCTTAAGAATAGGGCATGTGTGAAAAACCTAGTAATACGAAGAATAATATACGACAAAGTAATATGTTTTGAAGAAACGAAGAAAGTTTACATATCAGCACAAAAAAAAAGAAAAAGAGATTAATTAATGCTTATTTTGTTATTCATTCATAGTTTTAAAATAAAAGTTAGTCCCTGATGATTATTGTTTACCTAGTTTAGAAAATTAATAATATTTTATGCTCATTAAGAAGTGTCTATGATAGATAATTTATTGTTGTTAAATTAAATTAATTATCGTCTTGGAAGTCGATTTGGTCGATTACTTGTTGAATATTTTGATCCTGTTGTATTACGAAGTTCTGTACTTCCTTTTTCTGTTACATGACGTAGATCACTGCTTGATAATGATGTTTTCAGTGTTGAATCACCTTGTCCTCCAGGTCTACGTTCTAATGAACGTCGAGTATTAGTTGATGGAAATTCAGCATGAATTGTGGTTGAAAATTTACTTGGATGACTTATTATTTGTTGTGGTCTATTTGCTTCTACTATCAAATGATCTTTTAATGAAGCTAGCTAAAAGCAAAACGAAATATATATCAATTAAAATATAAGCATAGAATAAATTTAATTTCTGAATAAAAAAAAACTTCAAAATTGAATGAATGAACTAAATAAAACATTAACTTTTACATTTTAAAAACTGAAATAGGATTAGCATGTTATTATGATTTATTGTTATGATGATGATGATGATTAGTGTTATTATTATAATGAAACATAATGTCAAGTCATTTAGATTTTTAATAAGCTAAAAAGGTAGTTGTATATTTATACGAGTATTTAAATTTGTTTTGAATAAGAAAATATTAAGAATGCATAAATAATGATCAAAATTCTTTACTAAATATGCAGATAACTAATTCAAGTAAGAAAAAATAATATATACATATGTCACAGGTGATGATGATTATTTCAGATAATACAGTTTGGAATAAGTTTTAGAATGAAAAAAATTTCGATTTTTCTCATGAATTAATAATTCATGTTGTCATTTTGATTTTGTTATCGTAGATGTCAAAATATGCAACTTCGCTTTCAATTGTATGAAACGTTAAATAAAAAAAACTTTATCTATTTGGTTAGATAGTTAGTTAGTTTCAGTTTTTTAAAGTTCCTTTTGTATTTTTGAAAACATGTAATATTTAATTTAATTTAATTCATTTCTATTTAATATTTTAAATTCAAGCATCAATGTTTTTTCCCATTATAAAATCTAATTAAACTAAATTATAATAACAAATTTTTAGACTTTTAATAGTTTAACAATTATTTTATAATCAATAATTATGCTGTGAAAAAATTTTCATGACTACATTCACTATATATATTGCTACTAGTAATAATTTTCCTTTTAATTCGAATATTGAATGTTACGGTGAAATTTTGTTTTAATGTCATTTATAATATTTAGTGTGCAATAGTATTTTGAAACTATGAATATTTTTTATCAATCTATGGAATTAAATAATTCAAGATTTTTTTATTTATAAAAATAATCTTTCATAGATAACTTCAGAGTGTTCACTGAACAATAATAATTTCTTATCATAAAATTTCATTCAAGATAACTTATTAGTTTTTTTTAAAATTAATTAAATTAATCTGTTTGTTATACATTTTTGAAATCATGAATCAATCAAAGTTAGACCACCATTAGAAATCTGGAAGCACTGGACGGCTGTTTCGTCCTGGTATGGGACTCCTCAGCAGTGCGCATTGATCGATTCATGGTTTCAAAAATGTGTAACCTAACAATCTTCACAGCCCCGTAATGTTTGTTATATGACATGAATTTTAGCATAGATATATATAAATACAGACCAAATCTTAGAAAAGTCTTATTATGTGGAATTTAGAATTTATCAACATTATTTAATTGTATCTCTCATTGACATGCATGATTGATGAAGGTAACATTTTTATTAATTGAAAAAAATCCTTTCAACAATTTGATCTTTAAATATAATAAAAAAATTGAAAGAAACTTTGACAATTGTTTAAAATTTAAAATTAGTATAAATACAAAAAAAAAGTGAATTAATTTTTCTCTCGGAAAATAATATTCATATCGAATCATATTTCGTATTGTTTAGTCAGTTTTTTTATCGTAAATATAAGACAAACAGATATAAAAATGCAAATATAAGTAGTAAGAGCAGCATAAGAAAAAAAGCAAATATTTTTTGTCATTCGATAAAAACAAATTATGCGTGAAAGTGTTGTACAAATTAATCAGTGCACAGATAATGATGATATCAACACATTTTATATAGGTGTGTCTTCTTTTATAACAATCATCAACACAATGTTTTAAATTGATTGAACAATATTGAAACAAATTAACTTGAACCTACCTTAACTTTTAACTGTACAACCTTTAAAAGGAAAAAGATTTACAATTCTCTTGGTTTAGATATGTGTTGAACAAACATTAATAACAAAATTTCAGAAGAGTGATTATGTGAAAGAAATTGGAAAGGGATCTTGTTAGAAATCTAGTTATAAATGATGCTATGTTGCGAATCGATTGAAGTTGCTAATGTGGAAGCTAGCTAACTTAGTGGTTTTGACTATTCGCAGCTTGTGCTTGAAACCTTGAATCGACCACTGGTTGTATCGCGAATGCGCAATGCTAAGGAACCATATACTCGGAAAAAGAGTAGCTATCTAGTTCACTTTGGTTTCTAACGGTAGTTCAACTGAGATCAATTTATGACGAATTTCACCAGAGAAACTTTCGTCGAAATTGTGTAACTGTTTGCTTATTTATTTATCAACCATAAATAGTCATCATGAGATGACCAAAGATGTTCTTTTAAATTCTTAAATTAAAATTGGGATGAGTTTAAGTCTACCAATTAAATAAAGTCTCAATCATATCCTTTGACTACTAAGCCACATTTACATTTGGTTGTTAATCTTTTTTCAAGTTCTATTGGATGAGGATTATGTAAATAAGTTTTTATTCACTAATTAATAAGTCTGCTTAAATCCTCATCAGTGAAATGAACGGTCATCGGACAACATAAGAGAAAAAAAAGCGATTAAACTTTAGATTATATCATCAAATCAAAATCTGACAAACAGACATCGAACATACTATCCCAAATGAAGACATTTTAAAGCTTAAAAAAAACACGATGAAACGACAGCTGTCAGCACTATTTCTAAGAAATATATTTCTCTTTCAAACTTTTTTTAAAAATGTTGATGACATAACCCTAAACAATTTTTCAAAGGTAATATTGACTCAGTGTACACCTTAATAGTTGGAAAGAAATTATTTTCGAGGATTATCAACGTAAAGTGTTAGTAATAGATGCTTTAAGTTTCATAAATTAGATTATATTTGTTTATTACTAAGATGCGAACCCTATATATATATATATATATATATATATATATATATATCAGAGCTCTGCAAGTTTTCTGTAAGGTAATTCAATGAAAATCAGTAGTCAACCTTTCCATATAGTTTAATCATATTCAGTTGAATGTGCTCAGAATTATGATTTAAATGTGGATGTTAATTGTTATAGATACACACCATATGATTCAGTTCGAGGCCAGCTAATATACAAGAGCATTTTTTAAATATAACTTTTCACATTATTCAATTTGAATAAAGCAACAACAATTGACATAGCACAATAACATGAATTCATTTTATTTTGTGGTTTCTCTTCAGCTGTTTACAACTTAAACGTAAAATAATATTAATCATTAAAAGCCATTGTACATTCTGTATATCATAATATCGGTAAAGTTCTCATCGGTGAAATTTAATGAAAGAGCAATAAGGACTATAACACATAATATTCATTTGTTAAATAATTTTAATATTTATAGTTTGAATATAAGAATATTCTGGAATAAACAACCCAAAACAGAGAAACAGAATTATTTGGAATTAAGACATTAATTTTATAGTTGTGTAACTCATTAAACAAAATTGACAGAGTACAGAGCAAATAAGAATGGAGAATAATTAAAAAGTCACGGAAATTGCGTAACAACACCTATTGATGAGATCCTCTATAGCAAACCAAAATTGATAGCTGATTCTTTTTGGATGCAGAGGTTTGGTTTTAAAGTACTCGTAGAAATTACTTCAGTTGCAACGTAGTAAATACGATGTTTTTTGTTTGATTATAATCCTGAAGGATTTTGAGACATCAACCTCTTGACTGCTGTCATGCAAATGTTGTGCAGTTTCACTGCTGAAACATGTGCTCTTAGTCTAAGTTTCAGTGGAATGTGCTCACAGATGCGAACTTTTTTCGCTCCTTTCCAATGTATGTGCTTTGGCATGTACGTCTAAACTGGAAGATACAATTGGAGGTAACGTAGGATGGGAATTTATCCACACATAATTGACTTAATGAGCAGTTTGTGTGACACAAAGAATTCAGTTTGGCAGCTGGATATGTTCGTTTTATTACGGTTTTCAATATGAACCCAATAATTTCTAGATATTTCATCACACTTGAAGCCAAGTTTTCGGAAGATGGCTTGTTCTCAACAATCACATACTCCAACTCGTTTGCTTTAATCTTCCCATCCTTGACAATAAATTTTTGAGGGCCACAAATAATGATGATACATCAAAGGGAACCATGAATTTATCAGAAATCTCGACTTTTTCCAGCATTTGAGTAAACTGTGGGCAGGTAAATTTGAATGCATTGGTTCCAGCTGACTAGCTAATCAACGAGCGAGCTTATGAAAATGGAGAATTACTAACTGATAAAGTTGGTCTCACAGCGGGGATATAAGGTTTATGTATTTTTGGGTAGTCCATACAAATGAGGTAACCCGGAACCTCTATGTTTCGACAAATATCAATTAGTTTCTTTTTTGGAAGCTTTCTTCATAGCACGTCTTTCCTGTTATTTCAGCCATATCTTTGTTAGACCGACCAATTAGGAATCTTGTCCAATCATCTAGGTCTATACTGACTTAATTCACATACTTGTTTCTGTCCATTATAACTACGTCTGAGCCTGTGACAGTGTTTTCATTTCACAACAGCTGACTTAAAGGAGGGATAAATGTATTCAAAAATAGGAGTTAACCAATATATCGCTAATGACAATTCTTTGCTTATAAAGTGATGGCCACTATATGAATTTCCTCCAGATTGATCATTCCAAATAACTTCGTAGTACATTATCAGTATTGTAATGTGAGGTGCTTCTGTGTGAAGAACAAGTCGACATAGCTGCTTATTTGAATATACCAGTGGAGGTGATACGCCTGAGCTACCCACATAGATAGTTTGTTTGGATCCCTTCTTCGCCTCAATCGAGAAGACGTCTCGTCATAAATCAATGAGGAATAAAGTATGTTTATTACTGTGAACCATATAGTAGATTTATGAAATTCTGTCACAAATTTTCCTTTTGACATTATTTACAAGTCAAATATTCCAAAAGGCATTCATCCAAAACCATATAGCACTAAACAAATCTGAATCTATTTCATTTCCTTTTTTCACTATAAGCCTAAATTTCCCTTATTTTACTCCCATGCTTAAAAAATGAATCTTTTTTCGTTTCACCTGATTTCGGCTTCATTTTTTTCAATCATTATTAAAGATTTCTCGAGTTTAAATTCTTAATTTCTGTTTATATTATATGAAATTTATTTCCACCTCTAGATCAATGACTTTTGCTAATATTATTGTTTACGATAATGAATATAAATATTTCTTGTTTCATAAATCAAGCTACATATAATAGTCACTTACTTGATCTTCCAAAGCTTTAACACGTTGTTTATGAGCACGTTCACGTGCTTCAAGTGCACGTTCAGCTTGAGCTTTACCACAACGAAGTCTTTCTATTTCCAGTTCACTTTCTGCTCGATGTCGATGTGCCAGTTCATTCAGGTGTTTAGAGTGATTTTGTTCCATCTCAACCAATTTGGACTACAATTTAAAAGCAATAAAGTTAAAAGCAATATTTATAAATATTGATCAAATATACTTTTCCTACCTGTTTAATAAACTATGTACTTGTAAATGTTATTTGTGTTTGATTGAAATGTCATGCTGTTTTAAGATTAACTAAGTTAATTGTTTTACATGATTCATAAACTTATTTAGTAATACATAGTATAATGCATTTTTAAACAATTTCACTACAAGCACAAGTGAATTTTATTGGTTATTCAAACTTTTATGATATAAATCTGATTATTTGATCAAGGTTGAATTAAAATGATTCTACAAGAGAAATCTCATCTCAAGAAGACTATAACGATTCTTCAATGGAAAAGATGGCCTGTAGCTAGCAAGCAGTGAAGTTCAGAATAGAGGTATGTCCAGCTGATGAGTCCTGGATAAGATGGAATACGCATTCTGGATTGCAATGATAGCGACATTCCATTTTATTTCTAATATCAACTTGTGAAATAATAGCGGCATATCACGGCAATTCACAAGAAAAAAAAACTCACATATACCGACTAAGACTGATCAAAATTCAAAGATATTAAAAAATGGAATAATTCAACAGTCATTATAAATCGAATAATGATTTTTTAATAGTTACTGAAGGTGAGTTATGCATGTATTCACTTATCCTTCCGTGAGTAAACTAATCAATAAAGTTTTATCAAGCAAAGTGATCGATTTTGTAAAAAATATGAAATCAACTTCATTCAATCTTGACTACTTGTATAGCGGCAGAAAGAACATAACTAGTTATTTATGAACATTATAGTGATATGAGTAATTTCCAACCCAATCAAATTATTTACTAAGTTAACGATAATTAAGTAGGCTCTGTAATGAATAAATACAAATGACAATTTTTATCTTGTAGACATGAAACTGAAAGTGTATAGACAAAAATTCTTTCCATAAATTATTTCTAATACTTTCTTTTTCACCCCAAATGGAACACTATTCCAATTACAAAGTACTACTAGTACTACTATAAGATTTATAGAATTGAAAATTTGATCAGAACTATCAAAATATAACATGACCAACTTGTGTATAATATCAAACATAATTCTTATAGGCCATATGATTAGAATTTATTACATACAAGTAAATCGAGTGTTTACGAGTGATAGAATACAAACTAGCAATATTCACTTAATTTACTTTGTAGAGTTGTGTTAGGTTTGGTCGAGTTTCTCAGTCTGAGAAGTTGTCAATCTTTGTCTACACTTAACGTAGTTTAGTTAATACACATTTGAAATCATCAATCAATCATTGTTAGAGCACCATTAGAAACCTGGGCACATTGGACGGCCATTTCGTCCTGGTATGGGACTCATCAGCAGTGCGCATCCACGACTCCTGCACCTCAGAGGATTCGAACCCGGGACCTTCGGTCTTGCGCGTGAATGCCTAACCTCTGAACCACTGGGCCGGAATCCAACGGTGTTAACGTCTAACTCTGATTGATCAATGGATTTTGAGCGACTTCACCTAATTGGTTCGAAACGGCCGTCCAGTGCTTCCAGGTTTCTAATGGTGGTCTAACAATGATTGATTGATTTCAAATGTGTAAAAACAATAATCTCCATAACTTCAATTGCAAAATCGTCGTTTACTTAGTTTGTATAAGCAGTTGTTAAAGCACACTGTAAATGCACAGCTTGTTTAGATTACAGGTAAAGATAAATTTTTTATCTTATACACATTTGTTAACAGTTTGATGAAGTAACATTTTTAACATCAAAAAGCAGTACTATTTATTATCGTTTCACCTTAATGTGATGAGTGGGTTTAAAACCAGTATAATGTTAAGTTCATGAGTAATTATCGTCAGATACCATCACTTTACAGAAGTAAAATGGATAGTCTCTTATTTATATATTATTATTATTATTATTTGGGTTCAAGTAATTTATTTGACTAGATCAGACAAATTTCATCTTATTTTTAAGAAAATTTTCAATAGCTTGTTGTTGTTGTTGCTTTTTTACACAGATCTGCTCTTCTCTGACTAAATTTTGAATGGATTGCGGTTAGTCATGTCACTCATGTGAACTGCTTCTTGACAAAACACCAATATATCAATCATGTGGTAAAAAAAATTTATAGTATAACACTTAACCAATAAGATGGCTTCAGCTTTTTTCATCACATGTGATTGATGAATAAGACATTTATATTATTGAAGTATTTAGTTTTTCGCTCAACTGTGCAGTATCTTGAGGTAAAAACTTAACAATTTGAATATAAATTATATTTGATCTAGTTATAACTCAAATAATTTTGTAAAATATAAAGTGAAATCATGAATAAGTATTCATAAACCAAAGATATTTTGATGAACTGATTCAGCCATAGATACTAATTGCTTCAATTCTATGACGCGCACTGCTGATGAGTCGCATACCAGGACGAAACGGCCGTCCAGTGCTTCCAGGTTTCTAATGATGGTCTAACAATGGTTGATTGATGATTTCAAATGTGTAAAAACACAAAAAATCTCCAAAACTCTGCCCGAAAAAAGTCATAAGAAAATTTGTAAGTTGCTAAACTAAGGTGGGGGGGGGGTAGGGGACTACTTTAAAATAGGAGCTTTAAACTGATTAAAAAAAAAACATTTACTTGTAAAAATTGAATTTGTTTTCGTCTATTTGAATTCTCTTCTTCTAAACGTCGTAATGTTATTTCTAATTCTGTACGATCCAGATTATTTTTATTCACAATTTCTTCATTGTGTTGTTTTTCTCTTTCAGCTTTTTCTAAATGTCTTTTAAGATTATGTCTATCTTTTTCTAGATGACTACTTGATTTCATTAAATGATCACGCATATTTTCAACATCAGTTAAATTTCGCTGTAAACATGATACTCTATCATATAGTTCTTGTTTTTCTTTTGAAAGCTATGAAAAAAAAATGTTACATAAATTCGATATGAATTTTCTAAAATTGCATGCTACTTATTATTTATTAGAAAAATGATTGATTTTTCGATGATTTATTTTGAACGGTTGTAAATTGAATGCTTTTTTATTCACATGTTGAACTGTCAACTTAAGCCTAAGACATGCGAAGAAAAAAACTCTAATCAATTTGTCGGAATCATATGAAGTTTGTACTATTCGAGATTCTGTTAATATAAAGTTTTTATTTTGGTTTAAATTTTCTTGATCTTCTCATAGTTCATTAATATAAAAAAATTATATTTATGATTTATCATATAAATAGGCTACATGTTTTTGTTATGAATTGTGATATGAACTTTTTACGATTTTTAAATTTTTGCATAATACCTACACCTGTTATTCTTGTTCACTGTTCCTCAATATTAGTGTTTTGAAGAGGATGCTGAAAACAATTAGTAAGGTATATAGGGGATCTTTTGATGTCCTTCATAATGTTATGATGGGAAGACATCTGAAGACTCATAAACTTCTGGGCAGTGTGTTATTTCATCAGACACTAGTCATTCGCTTACTTCACTCATATTTTCAACCAGTATATATTCTAGCAGGATGACATGCAGATACATGTGGATTCATGCGGGCGAATGCGGTGAAAAATCTCCACTATATAATAATTACCAGATTTAGTATACCACAAACAGTCTATAGAAGTTGATCTTATCAAACACGTATTGCGGTGGTGTTTCGTTCTTTGAGCTGGATGTTTTAGATGTGGAGCTTTCAGTGTTCTTCTGAACAACATCATCAGCACAAACTTTAGATGGAAGTGAAGTAGTCGACCTGTAGCTTGTTGTGTTAACTTCGATTTCGATTGGTTACTGTTGAACTTAAACCTGTCGTTGTTTGCACCACTATTTTGATCGTATCCCCCTTTTGATCTGTTTCCTGATCCTATGTCGCCTATGATTTTTCTGAGTGGTTGATAAATTGGGTCAATGTCGATGTGTTTGTTGATTGCTGATTTACCTGAGTGCCAAGCTTCTGAAAATTCTCTGGTGTTCTTTCTTCTCCCACTATGCAATATTTTCACATTGTTCCAATCGAATGTATGTTCATAATTGTCCGTCTGTATTGATATAAGCGAAGAATGGTCGTGGCGTTTGACTGCTAATTGGTGTTCACGTAAACGAAGCTGAAGAGGCCGTCCAATTTGTTCTATGTAGTGTTTTTCACAGTCTGAGCAATTTATTTTGTAGATGATATTTGGTTTTTCTTCATTTGTCATTTTGTCCTTTGGTCTACATAGGATTGATTGAAGTGATTCTGTTGGTTTGTGTGCCACACCTATTCAAAACGGTTTCAGTAGTCGTGCTGTATGCTCCGATATGTCTTTATGTATGGTAGGACGATCCGTTTATTGGTTTCTGTGCTTGATTTCGCTTCTGTTGACGATTTCTAACAAGTATATTTTCCAACATGTTACTAGTTTGAAACTACATCTAGATTTGTGAATTGCTTACAAATATTTTGTCAAATTTCACATAACTTTATCTACTTATTTCATGCATGTATATATTTTTTTAATGGAATAATAGAATACCATGAAAGACTTGTACAAATATTGTATTAAACATGTAATACTGAATAAAGCCATCATCTCGATAGTAACACTAATAATAATAATTATTATTATTATTATTACAATTTTATTTTTTCTTAAATTCTCATTGTAAACCTACCATTTGAAGTTGTCTGTTGAGTTCTTGTTCATTCTCTTGACGTTTATCCAATGCATTACTTGTTTGACGTATTTGATTTTCAAGCTCTCCTCGACGTAATTCAGCATCAGCTAATTCACTTTGCAATGATTGTATTCTTTCACATGACTGTTGATTTTGATGTTTTTGTTCGTGTAACACACTACGTGTATTATCTAATCGTTCCTAAATTCAATGAAATAAAAAAAAATATAAGAGGATTATGCAGTTTAAACTTAAATCATCTTAGATCTTTTTTAGACAATGTCAGAGATTAACTTTGAAATCTTTTCATTAACCTAGAAGTATTGGTAACGATTTCCAGTAAACTTAGCAAATCATAGGAACTTGCTTAACTGGAGTTTCTTAATAGTAATCTATAAACAAATAAAACTGTCATCACTGTTAGGATATTCATCCAATATCCTAAGAGAATTATTGGTCTATCCCTATTGGTTTAATTCCTATTGGTCAATTTTATGGTCGTCCTAGATAGCAATGTCACGTGCTCCAATATTGTTTCTTATTGGTTGTCCTGATTATCAATGTCACTTCCTATTGGTCGTCTTAACTGTCAATGTCACAGAATTCGATGCTGTTTCCTATTCGACCAGAATGTATAAATACCCATTATCTGTAACGTTTTATGACCAGGACCAGGACCCGGTCCCGGATCCCTAGTCCGGGATCCTGATTCTCTTCTGGACTCGGACCTCATATTTTCTGAATGCCTGTAGAATAGAGGTTCTACTTCATATCAAGTCTTCTTGTTTTTACTCAATATGGGGGTTGGGATAATCGGATTTGTGTAGCATGTTGTGTCGCCGGATACTCGATCCTCGCTCACGTTTTCCGACTAGGTAAACTCGTAATAGTTCAAGCATATCAAAACGATGTGTTTACGTGCAGGTTTAACAATCACCAACATTGGCATTCACCTGAAAATCTTTGAAAACTCCAGGGTTTCTTAAAATCGTCTATGCGTCCCATTATTTATGTAGTACATAAACAAGTTGTTGAGTAAAGCTTTCGATTGTATCACAAACATTTCGCCTGTTCTGATTTCAATAGTTTACGAGATGTGAGTGTTTAGAATTTGATATATTAGTCTGTATTATGAATGTTTCTTACTCAATACATAATATGGTATTTTTTTCAAAACTATTTATTTTAACTGTCATTTTTTTAGCATAAAAATATTAATTTCTAGGGTATATTTTACTAATCATTTTGAATGAATGTTCTAGAAAGATAATAGCAAAAAAAAGCAATCACATTGAATTTTTAATATTCAAAACTGGTTACATGTTATTAGACAAATATACATATATATATATTCACTGTTTTTAGGAGCACGTAACTAGAATCAATGTGATTTATATATATATATATATATATATATATATATGTAAAAATCAATAATGTGTTTTTATTAACAGACACTGTTATTTCTGTTCATTTCAAATTTGTTTTAAATCTGAACGAGAGTATCGTTTTAGCCAAATTTTATTATGGTGTATGTAAGTTGATCATTGAATTAAAAAAAATTGCAATGTTTTGCAATACAAAGAAAAATAAAGAAAAAACAAAACAAATTAACTTTATATTTTCAATAAAAATTATGAATAAATTTAACTAAAAATTATTTTTTAATAAGAAAACAAAACAAAACGAATCAATCAAACAAACAAACCAACGAACTTGTATAATTCGCCTTTCATGTTCTGAATTTGATAGAGCTTTTTGTAAATGCACTAAACGTTCTTGTAATTCTAATATAGTTTGATTATGATATGAAAGACTTGAGTTAAGTTGTTGCATTTTATCTTTGCTTACACTTTCTAACTCTTCTCTTTTAGCTAATGCTGTACTCAATCGATCAACTGTCAGTTGTAATGACTGTGATTTGGATTCTAAATCCTGTAAAAAAAAGGCAATTAATATGAATAATTCGATTAACTGAGGATTAAAGAGATAGATAGCTATTAGCTCATTATATGATAGGATAATTGATAAAAGTAGACTAAATCTCTTACCAATTAGGTAAGAAATAATTTTTTCAGAAGTATGAGTATCATTTTTAATGAGACTATTCAGAATAATTGATGTCATCGGGGTATGGAAGTAAGCAAAAATATGGATTCTCCTCATCTGCTTTCAAGAACAGTCATTAAACATTATTTGTATTTCGATGAAATTAGGCAGCTTCAAAATAATTAAATTAGAAGTCACTGATTGGTCGTTTTCAAATTTATTACAATGTCACTTCCATGTCCACTAACAATATCTGTTCGCTTTAAGTAGTTTGTGAAGATTAGTTTTATTTGACGATTGCAGTTGAGATATGGATTGATATTGCGTGAGAAACGATTGAAGATTGTAAAGCCTACTGGATATTAAAGTTTCCTTAATTTATAATATATTTGAAAATATAAATCCTATGACTTCATAGGGAATCAAAACTACGACTGATATATTGAGAGGTGAGTAAGTTTACATAAATGTAACTTGTTGCAAATTGGCTGAAGTTAGATAATACAGACCGTTGGACTTCAGTTGATCGAGTGAACAGTGTCCAAAATATTTTGTATATTTAATCAAGTAATCAGTCTAATTATTGTTTTGATCTGAAGACCTAGCTAAGTTTTGAAGAAATTAATCAACCCATTGTATTTCGAACTGAAATAATAGAACTTTATTCACCAGATAGATAATAAGATATTTTGAATTGAATGCTGACAGAGAAATTCATAAGTGCATCTTCAGTTAGAAAAAAACACATAAATCATCATTTTTTTCAATAAATGTTCTCTAATAATCTTGGTTTCGTTGAAACTTTACTTACAAATTTCTCTATAGATTTATTTAATCATAAGGTAGTAAAAGTGTCATTAGTATTGTTCAATTATGTTCACTAAATAATAAAGATAAGTTTTAACATAAGAATTAATTTACTACTCACAAAGTGTTTGTATGTTTGTATGTATGTATTATTTATTAACTAGTTTTATACTTACCGAATAAAATGTGAGTTATTTCCTAGGTCATTATTGATAGTTTAACGTAATCAATCATTTTTACTAGTGTTTTAAACAACTTTTTTAGTTAGTCATAGCATTGGATGAAAATGCTACTATTTTTATGTCTTAATTAATTTGAAAATGCAGAACTAAAAGTATAAAAATGAAAAGGAACATGAAAAGAATTTGCTTCGATCAATAACAGCATCGTATGAAATTATCTGGAAAGTACCATATACTCCAATAACGTATCACATATTATGTAATTATGAGAAGATAGGCACTGAGGATGAAGTGTTTCACCATGTTCTGCCAACAAGTGTTTCAGAATGTCTATATTTTTCCTGATATCATCAAGCAATTAAATGAAATGGTCTATCTTCTTTATTACTAATCAGCAGAATGTTAACCACCCTCACTAAACGATACTAAGTTTTGAGGGCAATCTATTGACATATTAGTTAGCTAAATGGATTTGAGTGATCAGATTCTATCTAGAGCCTATACCTATATGGTCGTTGCAAGAAAACCAATGAAGAAGAGTGCCACGTGTTGAATTATATGTTGAGTTATGATAGAATCATCTCACCTGTATTTGTTTGCAGAGGTTTTGACATCTCTCCTCAAGGATCTGATTTTCAGCTTCTTTATCACTGACACACATCTTGAATCGTTGTAATTCACCTTCTAATGATCGTCTAGTTACTTCAAGTTGCGTGATACGATTCTCAGCATCATCCAAAGCTCTTCGACTGAGACGTCGCTCCTCTTCGAAGCGTGCTCCAGTTTGATGTAAATGCATTATTTTTTCCTTAATTTACAAAAGTTTACATAAATAGATTAAAATTTACATGTACTCATTATTTTCTTGTACCTATGATGAAGTGACCCTTCAAAGTAATTAGTTCAAATGAAATAAGTATGGTTTGAGATATTTTTCAACGATTTGTTGTGAATTTATTTCTGATATGTACAGTTTCAAATTTGGATTTTACTTTATTTAGTCATCATAATATACGTGTTTAATCAACAAATCATAAGTGTCTTTATCAAAATGACCAATGGATTACTTTAACTAAACTCTGATTGCAGAAAATATTCATTTTGTACTTTTTATTGTTGTTTTTAATTACTCCAGATGGCGTAATCAAACGAGATCATTTGCAGTGTAAATGAAATTCAACAGACAGATATGAGTTATTTCAATTTGTGAATTTAATTCTTTCATTCTGTTAAAATCAGTTTTATTTGGTAATTTTAAAATTAAAATTTTCTATATGATAACTGATAGATTTTTGAATTATTTCATAATCTGTTTGAAATTATTGATATATCTTGAAATCTTGTTTTCTATTTTCTCTTATCTAACTTTTGATAAACCTCATATGCAATAAACTGATATCATATAAAAGTGTAGTGTAATTTTGTCATGAAAGAAGATGGAGGCACATATGGTATAAACGATTAATTTGAATGATTTTGATCGACTAGCCAAACAGTGTACACCTTAACACAGAACAATCATTTGTGAAACAAGCGAATTCTTGGTTGTCTTCTTCCACATGTATTCTAGTCTTCAAAAAACACTGGTTGCACCATAAATCTGTATCCAAAACTCCCGTCTTCAAAGGTAATTTTAGGGCGACACTCTGCTGCACACTCGTTGCATGCTACTTGTATACATCATTGTAAGCAGTACACAACCCAGTTTGAGTGCATTACTACTGAGAATACAGTCAATCATTTTAACGGTTTATCATTAAAGTATCTGATAAAAGTTCTAACCAATGTATTTCGTACCTGATCATCATGTCTTTCATTTTCAATAGCAGATAATTGTCTTTCTAATTGACTTATTTTATCTGCCATTATTTTTCGGTCACGTTCATTTTGTCGTAATGTTTCTTCTTGTAGCATAAGAGCAGTTTGAGTAGTAGATAATCTTCCATCTACTCCTTTCTTATCTGGTTAATATTTTATGATACAAATAAATATAAAGAAGAAAGGAAAATAAATAATCACTACACTTCAATAATAAATAAAAATAAGTAAAAAAAAACTATTATAAAGCTGTGATCAGTTGTTCAGTGTTTCTCATTCCCAATCAACACCACTTAACACCTCTACTAAAACTGACAATATTAATAAACACTTGCTTCTATATGACAGAAATATAATTATTCATGAAAACATACAAGATATATTTACGAAATCATTGACTACTTGAAGTAGTTAGTCATGTACAAAATTGTCTATTTGATAAGGTAAGGTTTGTAAATTGTATCAGTCAAATCTTTAACTGATTATGTAATGTGTAGAATTACAATGTTAGCTTAACTAGTTGTGCCGACAAAAAGAAAGAAATATAAACTAGTATTATCTACGGAGAGAAATATAATTCCCTAAAAAAAAATGAACCAGTTCATGGTATACAAAAATCCATATATGATAAGTTCTATGTTAATACATCGGGAATTTTCTCTGTAAATCAACTCTGAAGCATGTATATATATATATTATAATTAGTTTTTAATCACCGTAATTTGTGTAAATGATAGATCATTAATAATGTTTTAATATTTATCATTTTATAAAATCCATAATCTTTTCTTTTTTTTCTTATCTTCACATAGTATGTTTAAGGAATAGTTGAAATTCATGAACAAATAGTACTGTTGGGGGGGGGGTTCCTTTTTCTCGTAAATTTATCTCTTCAAAAGTAGGCATAATGTTAATATATATGTGGTGTGTGCTACTTATACGAACGATATAAGTAGTATAAGAAGGGACGTGAAAGAAGAAGTCTCACAGTCAGAAGAGGAAAACGGAAAGCAAATGGAGCAAAAGCAAGAAGTAAATAGAGTACCAACAGGAAGGAAACGAAACAACAACAGGAATGGAAGAAGGATGGAGCATTGTAAGCCACGACTCAAAGATGGTGTGCAAATAGAGTATTCAATGTGATGTTTTCGTTTTTAATTGACTCAGAGTGTAAATTGGCATAATACAATCTTCCGCGCCTGCCCCAGTCTTCTCATGTATATATACAAGTTTCATAATTGCAGTATTTGTTTATTCATCATTTAGTTCAGTGAATAATGTGAGTTATAAAGCTGACAATAAAGTTTTATTTTGTTAAATAGTTAACAATAATAACTACAATTTATGAGTATTTTATTGATTTGTAATTCTATTGAAATTTGAGATAATTGTCATAAATAATATTTATATATATATTTTTTTTACTGAAAGTAATATAAAACAATCATTTATGTGATAAATTAAGTGATTTGAAAGAGTTTATTTTATTTTTAGCATATAAAATTCTAACTATCAAACACTAAACAATATTTTAGATACTTTACAGAATCAGCGGTAAAGTTGATTAAGCGGAAGATTGAATATTGAAAGTAGAAATAGTTCTGAGGAGAGAATATGATCAACTACCAGATGTTTTCTTGCTAGCAAATCCACTTACTTGATTATATAAAAGCTAGTTCTATATAATGAAAATGATATACTCAATAAAACATAAAACAAGATTGAGAAAACATTAGGACCGGATGTCAATCAGTGAACCGTTTCAAATTTTACGAATAACCATCAATACATAGATAAAATTTTGCTGATAAAACATATCATGAACTATGAAGAATGAAAGTCTTTGAAGAATTGATGAATTAGAAATGAAAATTTTCTAAATTTATCAAGCTGTTAAATACCTGCTTCAGCTTCACATAATGCTTGTTGAAGTTGATGTAGTCGTCTAGCCCATTGTTCCGTTTGATCAGCTTGTTCATTTAATCGAGAATGAAGAGATGTGATTTGTGCTTGTGCATCTTCATAATCACGTTTTACCATGGAATATTTCTGAACAAATTCACGTAAAGCTAAACGAACTGCATCAGGATCTAGATCAGATGCATTGAATCCATCAGCAGGATATAGTTTTGATACACCTGGAAATTTCGAATCACAAACAGCATCTAAAATAGGAAGAATAATTAAGTCAGTAAAAGTATAAATGTAGGGGGAAGGTAAATGACATAAATAAATACTTCCAGTTTATTTTAAATAAAGACAGAGTTTTATCTTAAAAGTGAATTGAAGTCAGTAATTGTCTCGATCAGAGAGCTTGATATGCTTGAATGTTATTACGAGTTCACTTTACTCGGTAAACGGAACGATAGTCAACGATATAGTGACAGGATAGGCTATTCTAATCCGTTGTCCAAGGCCCAGCTAACTAGATCAAGAAGCCTTGATAAGGCGTAGAGAATGTATTCTACAAGCATGCAGAAAATACGAGGTGGCTAAGCACACAAATTAAGCATATTTATGCAATGATAGAAACACCCTTGGGAAAGCAACAAAATAGCGTACTAAAATAATCCACTAACCAGTGACAGTCAAGGATGTCCTGAGGGGGAAATGTAAGCTGAGGGTCATCTAAGCATCTCTGGCGCGAAAACATGGAAATTCAAATTTTCAGAATAAAATTACAAAATCAGGACCTTTCTAAGTGAGTTCTGGGGATCTAACATCCCCAACAGAGCTAATAATCTTTATCCAATAAAAATGAAAAGAAACCAGAAATAATTTATGTTAAGATCCTTTGATAGACAAATTTACAGGTAAGAAGAGTGTTTCTATGAGTTTTTAATGTAAGTAAATTCATTGTTGAGCACTGATTTAAATAAGTCGTTGATTTTACCACTCATCAAAACAGTCCTCAGCTGAACTTCGTAAGTGACACAACCAACAAACATTTTATAACGAGATAAGATTGATTTTTGTTGGACGCAATATCGGTATAAACAAGGTGGTTGAACAGTATAATATCCAAAATCAAACGAGTTCTTGCTGATGAAGTCATGTTTAGCTTAGTATCTAGCATTCAAAGTGGTTTAGCCCTTTGCTACCATAAAATGTTTTGTGTTAATATGTCCCAAAATATTATTATATATCTGCAAATGTATATAAGATGGTCAGTAATAATTTAAGTAGTCTATAATTTGTTGTCAGTAGAGCAAAAAAATATATAACTTCTTTTCAATCTTGATTTGTACAAATTTTAAGGAATTCGGTAACCGTTTAAGTAAACTAAGCTGATGCATTAGACACTGTCCGGTAGTGGAGTCTGCGATATCTGCGTTTTTCCTTATCCTATTTGGGACTTGTCAGATTGGTGTACTTACTCCGTGTCACTATGATCTAGAGAGTTACACATAAACTAATGCTGGTAAGATTGAGGCATCGGTTTAAGGTGTCTGTCTTTATGGCAACAAAGATTAAATAATTCCTTTTTAAATATTAACAGTGAAAAAATATCCATTATTAATGAAAATATTTCAATTTTTATTATTTGTAGAATAGTAAAAGTTGATAAAAATGTTTAAATTGTTATGATAAAAAATGTCTTCAAAGATATATCCTTACCTTTTACAGGAGAGTTATCACGACTGTTGATTGGACTTGTTTTCCCTTTACGAACAGGAGAAACAGAAGTTGAATCTGTGGTTCTTAATGGAGTTCTAGATCGATGACGATCTTGATTATAACCAATAAGTCTACGAAGTGAACTATGTATACATGCTAATTTATATGCGAAATCTCTTCTCATGGATTCACTTTTTGCCAACTGAGCTTCCAAACTACTCACGCGGCCTTCAGCATCACTTAAAGCCAATCTTACTTCAGCCAAATCATTACTTAATGCTTCAACAGTCGCGTCTAATTGATTTCTTGTGTCCGTTAGCCGACGATATTCGCAGTTTGCATGATCTGCTGCTTGTTTGTATTCTCGTTCTCTACTAGATAATAGCTCTTGTAAATCACATATTCTTCTTTCACTTGTAGATAAGTCTTTCCGTAGTTTGCAACTATATTAAACAAATAATAATAATAATAATAATTTTTCCTACTTAATAGCCAAAAATCGTAGCTTGATAATATTTTAGAGATTTTATCTCAAGTAAATAACTTCAAAAGTTTGTTCATGTTAAGAATTTTTATGGAGTCAGAAAGAAGACACATCTCTAGACTGATATTGCGAAAGACTAAAGCGTTTCAACGATCATGATTCAATAATGGAACATTATTTCAAACATAAAATAAATATAAAAGCAAAAACTAGGGTTCAAACCCAGAAACCGCTGCTTCAAAATACTAGCATCATCACTGTGGAAATTCACTTATTATCCCCCCTTGCTGAGTATCTAGGAGTTATGGCTTTGATTATGATTTGTCAATTGTTTTTCAACAATTATTCAAAAATGGTTCTTTTATTTGACGGTTTGAAATAGATAATCATTTAATTTTGAAGAGTAATCAAATGTATTTTCGGTATTGTTTCATTTTCTTACGATGTATAGATGGGTTCTTACTAACACTCCTAAGGACCATGTCCTATATTCTTGGTTTGTTGACCATAATTCTAATAAAAGTATGATACCAACAGGGGAAATTAATTTTCGCATTGATCACTTATTCACCACTTAGTTTTGATATTCGCTGAGTTTTAAATATTTAGGAAAGCGTAAGTCTGAAATATTGTTGATTCACAGGAAAAAATATCATTTTTAATTTAAAAAAATAGACAAAGATTAAACATTATTGGGATAGGTCATTTGTGAGTAAGGTTGGCATCATTTAAATAGCCTAAAATGTTGAACATTGTTAGGATATTCATCCAATATCCTAAGATAATTATTGGTCAAATCCTATTGGTCGATTTCTATTGGTCAAAATTATGGTCGTTTTAACTGTCAAAGTCAAATACTTCAATGTTGTCTCTTGTTGGTCATCCGGACTGTCAATGTCCGGATGTTACTTCCTATTGGTCGTCTTAACTGTCAATGCCACAGAATTCGATGCTGTTTCCTATTCGACCAAAATGTATAAATACGCATTATCTGTAACATTTTATGACCAGGACCCGGTCCCGGATCCCTAGTCCAGGATCCTGTTTCTCTTCTGGATTCGGACCTCGTACTTTCTGGATGCTTGTAGAACACACGTTCTACTTCTTATCATGTCTTCTTATTTTTATTCAATATGGGGGTTGGGATAATCGGATGTGATTGGCATGTCGTGTCGCCGGATCCTCGATCCTCGCTCTCGTTTTCCGACTAGGTAAACTCGTAATAGTTCAAGTGTATCAAGTTGACGTGTTTACTTGCAGGCGTAACAAACATACTATCCGGTTTTATATAGTTTGACTTATATAGTTGACTTACCTGGATAGGAAAATTACCGACACGACTTAAGTTTCATAATCTCCAAAGATGAATGCTATGATAAAATTACTGATTTGGTCTTAGGGAGCATTGGTTTGTTTCATGAGGTTGTAAAGCTAAATTAAGTGACACGATTGGGAAGCATTTTTCACCGACTATCCTAAAAATATTATATGTGCTGTAGAAATGTAATTGCATTCAATTATCCAATATAAGAGTCTGGTATTTTGATAATGTGTTAATGTTTTTTGTTTATCAGTGAGTCACTTTTTTTAATGTTTCAATCCGTATATAATCGTGTTTGGTTAACATGCTCAGTAAGTTACTGAGTTGGTGAGATTTATATTGATCAATCGAAACCACGTGGTCGTATATTTCCAGTGATTTTTATTATAGTTCTGGATTTGACAATGAATAAAATAAATCTAACTCATTCGAAAAACAAAAAGTTTAAAAATATTAGCAATTTTACCAAGCTACTCAATGAATTTTAGTAGTTAATTCTTACCGACAAGCATCCATTTCACCATTACGTTGTTTTAAGACTGTATTTTCTTGGCGTAATTCTTCATTCTTTTCTTCTTCTCGTGTTAGCCGAGACTGTATTTCCATGAGAACTTTAGTCTGCTTTTCATGGTCAGACTGCACATCTTTGAGTTGACGCCGTGTTTCTTGCAGATCACGACGGATATCAAGACGTCCTTTCTCACTTTCGCGGACACTTGAACGTAATTCACCGATCTCCTTGTTGTCAGCACATTTTTGTTCCTCAAAAGCTGTAACAGAAACCATAATAGTTACAAAGTTTTCAACGAACCTACCAATTGTAAATATCTATCCACTTTACTCAGAGATCTTAAATGTTCTCTGATTTAGTTTTAGAATTGCAATATTAAAATTTGTGGTGGTGTTTGGTTCTCTGAGCTGGGTGTTTTGGTTGTGGAGCTTTCATTGTTCTTCTGAACAACATCATCAACACAAACTTCAGACAGAAGTGAAGCATTCGAATTTCTCCACGTTTGACCTGTAGTTTATTCTGTTAACCTCGATCTTGATTGGTTGCTGTTAAACTTAAACCTGTCGTTGTGAACAGCAATCAATCAAGATCGAGGTTAGCAGAACAAGCTACAGGTCAAACGTCGTGAAATCTGAATGCTTCACTTCTATCTGAAGTTTGTTTTGATGATGTTGTTCAGAAGAACAATGAAAGCTCCACAACCAAAACATCCAGCTCAGAGAAACACCAAACACCACCACAATCATCCAGCTGAGCTACAAATTTTCTCCACCATCTTGTTATTAAAATTTATTAGTTTTTTTGACTTCTCATTCACAAGTTCTCCAAATAAATGTCTTTTAAGTGGATTTAATATTATTATAAATACATTGATCATTGTTATTTATTGACTTCAATTTCAAACTTGATTGGATATTATTTCATGAATAACGGAACGAATTACTTGGTTGTTCAACTAGTTTTTTTCGAAATGAGCTTTAGTATATTGGAGAGAAATGTCTAAATAAACTCAATAAACTGCTAGTTGCATACAAAATATTTACTTAAATTATCATGAAACAGTTAAGTATCTATCAGCTGATTAGGACCGAAAGTGATATCGTTTGTTCAATGATATGATGTCTGTATTGTCAAAAATATCAATAGCTTTTTTAATGAACTAGAAATTTTAACCAGAAATTTACTTCACATTACATAGAACTAAAATTCATCGGTTTTTCAATGAATATCTTGTTACATTTTCACTAACTAGTTGCTAGCCATATGCTAAAAACCATATTAATAACTATTTTGAAGAACATTTTTGATATGAAATAGTTCTATTATGATTTCTTGTAAAATCAAATTTTAAAAAAATTGACTAATTTAATTTGATTCTTTTTAATTTATAATGTTTAGGCTTGTTATTAATTATTGGAGTGAATCAGTAAGTATCATTAACTAAATATTCCTCACAAGGCTAAATTGTTTAATCATAAATGTTATAGTTGTGGACAAAACTTTAGTATTTAGAAAACATGACGATTTTGGACTATAATAATACTGAAATAGATTCATAGAAAATTACGGATATGAAAAATGATCTAGGTTTGCAAAGACATATACTTATTATGACTCCAAATTTATGTTCAACTATTTTAAGAAGTAAATATCCAGTTATTAGACTACTTGAACTCCGCTTGTAGACCCTTTGGGACTACTGGGCCAGTCCCAAGCCCGGATAAAGGAGAGGAGTTGGGATGCGGGTTGGCGACCCAATCTCGGAAAAAACTAACTTGCCAAAAAAACGTTGATGATGATATTAGACTACTTAATAGATTAATTCGAATTATCTTTGTTAAGATTACGATTGAAAATAAAATGAATCCTTGAAAAAAAATCGACCAATGTCTCCATAATAATGGAATGCACATCTGATTCATAGATTTTAGATTTGTTTTAAATATTCGGCTTTTACGGTGAAAATTTGAAATATTTATCACAATATCATATTGTCAGTTGAATTTGTAGTAGCTGCTAACATAATGTTTGATAACAACTGTATTTGTGTTTTATATTTCTTTAAATCACTGTCAAACATTTGTTTATAGGAAATGTTGTGCCCTTAAATAGTGAGAAGCTTTTCAAAAACTTTCAACTTAAAAATAGGTCTTGTCTGTCAATCACTTTTTAAGTGCCCACTTCTGTTTTCATTAATTGCTTTTTCGAATGTTCACTAAAATATTCATCTTTAAGTTGCTTACCGATTAATGGTATTGCATTGCCTTGAACTGGGATTTTTGACCAGGTACATTGTGAAAAATATTCAGTTTAGATTAGATACCGTAGACTTTGCATTATCAAGTAATAGAACTTTTTAAGTAAAAAAATATATGTTTTTTATTGTAGTATTTATTTTATTAAATGTATAATTTATTTATTTTATATTTTGTTGTGCTAATATTTTCATAACTAATTGTAGTTATGTCGTAACTAACCAATCAAATTGTGGATTAAGCGCCCATCACGTGATCTGATCTGACAAGTCTGTAAACTTTATTTGTTGAAAATGACCTAATAATTGAAGGACATAATTATCCTATTATATTGATGTGACTCATAACTTGATTCATTTTCGTAAGACACGCCATATCGGTCGGTATGTTTGCTGGTCTTACTTGATAATTGTAATTTCCTTATTTATTGTACTGATTTAATTGTTTTTATGTTTAGAAACAGATAAAGTTTAAAGCAAAGTTGATCTTCTTCTAACTGTAGCTTTCCCATAGATTCTGTGCTCGCCAATATTGCGTTTACCGTTCTGGAATTACATCTGTAGGACAAATTAAATCCTACACTAATTTCCAAATTAATTTAGTTCAGTTTAGCACTCTTTCTATTCCACTCTATTCAACTAAATCTGGATTAAGATGAATGACTTTGAGATATATGTAACTAATTCCTCATTATCAAATAAATCTTGTGGGTGAATCAATGAAGAAACAATATAGGTAATTCAGGTATGAATAATGCGATCCCAGATGGTATTCAACCTTTACCTTACATCAACAACTATCAAGAAGAAAAAAAGGCATGGTAAGCTGAACCACCCTGATTCAGATATTTTGGAAAGAATAATTATATCCAAATAAAACAACAACTTTTTACCAGATCAAGAGTTATTACCGTTGATTTGTTGTTGTTGGTCCGTCAAAACTCTATTTTGCTCAACACGTTCCGTTTCTAGAGACTGAACCCGCCTTACGAGATTTTCTTTAGCTTCTTCCTTACTATCACGGTCACGTTGTGTTTCAGCTAGAGTTCTACGTAAATCAATAATTTCTTTCTTTAATGTTTCTCTAGCTTCGTCTGTTTCTTTTAACCGACGAGATATTTCTGCAACATTTTTCTGTAGTCCATCACGTACTTCTTCAATTATATTTATTTGCATTTTTAATTCATTCACTTCATTTCTTGCTATATCTCTTTCAGCAGTTAGTTGGGCAGCTTTTGATTGAATATTCTTCAATGCTTGTTCATGTAGTGCACTATAAAATGATAAGAATAGTTTGAATAAATTTCATTTATTATGGTAGTTAATAATCTCGTGTATGATTATTAACGACAGTGATTAAGCATATATTATTTCAAACTTCCGTACTATTCTGTTCTATGATGAACTAGCATTTTTAAAAGTTTTAAAAAAATATAAAAGATCAGTATTTTAGCTGCTCATTAGGAAATTTTCAAACAGATTTATCCAGTATAGTATCTTTTGTGAAAGCAGTGATTGCTAGCACAATCTAAACTTATTGTACTACAAGATTATAATATTTGGTATTGATGTAATCCCGTTATTTCTAGAACATGTTATATATAAGCTAAAATGACTCTAGTAATCCAAAATATGTACTTTACAATAAGTGTAGAAATAAATTAAAAAATGTATCGATTTGTAAAATAAACGATTATTATTTATTTGTAGGCATTTCTATTCAGCGGCGTTTATCACCACTGTAAATAATAACAGATGAACAAAGCATTTAAGTAATCTTATAACTACTGGCTTAAATTATAAAAATTAGACTATTTTCTTATTACACATTTCTGAAACCATGAATCGATTAATGTTAGACCACCATTAGAAACCTGGAAGCACTAGACGGCCGTTTCGTCCTGGTATGGGACATCTCAGCATTGCGCATTCACGACTCCTGCACCCCGCGGGATTCGAACACAGGACCTTCGGTAGTATGCACGAACTCCTAACCTTCGGACCACTGAGCCGGTTCTTATTCAATTTTTTTAACTATCTGTTATTCGGTAGGTCCTTTGAAATTTATCAAACTAAGAAAACTAAATAATTGAATCGTAGATTTTGCTACTTGATTATTTTATATAAATCATTTGGATTTAAATATATTATTAAAATAAATGTAATTTACAACAACAACAACAACACAATTAATTACCAAGTCTCTTCATAATGTTGACGAAAATCTTTCAGTTCCCGTGTTAATTCAGCTTTGGCAATGTCATCACGTTCATGACGAGCTGATGCTTCACGTTTAATTCTCTCGATTTCTGATTCTAATCCTTGAATTTGTTGTAAAGACTTATTTAAACGTTCATGTACGGTAACACGTTCTTGTTCATTGAATGACAATAAATTTTGTTTGTCTGCTTCATATGCTAAAGTTATTTCATCTTTTTCTCGTTGAAGTTTCATGAGCTGTAATTATGATAATTAAGATCATTCTTAATAAATATGTTTAAAAGGCGTAAATTAAAAGATGAAATTTCAAATATATTTCACATTATTTTAGGAATAAAAAACTCCACCCGGAGCCCCTCTCGAGTTAGTAGCCCGAATTTAAGGAAGAGGATTTGGCATGGTGTTAGAGACTTCATCACGTAGAAAATTAACTCACTACAAAAACGCTAATCAGGAATAATAAGCATATCAAGTCATATATGGATTATGATACAATTTATTTAATAACTTTGCAATAGGATTATTCAAACACACAAATATATCTTCGGACAAACTGATTGATTACTGAATTATAGCCGATATTGTTCTTTGTATAGCCCTTGGTGCTGATCGAATTCTGTTAATCAAGGTACAGTAAGATCACTAGTTTAAGTGAGATTCTAATTTTCCTTTGGTAATTAGAATTCTCATCACTCGACTTCCAAATCTGATCAATAAGACAAATGATTCTGTTGTGTAAAAAGAGTTAGAATTTTCGTGGCAATCAACCACTGTAAATAGGAAAG